GAATACAGCCTCCAAGCCACATCGGAACCTTCGACACTTTGTAGCGACTATTGCAAGGATCTCGACTCGATATGTGCAAAGACAGAGTAGTATGTGGGCTTCGCTGTAAAACGCAGCGCCCTCCGGGCATTCAGCTTCCTTTGGCACCAGAATGATCTAATTTCGAGGCTCCTCTGGATTACGAGGACAAATACGACGAGGAGGTGACTTTCAAATCCGATAGCTCTTTAGAATCAATTGAATATAGGGAAGAAGAAGCTTCCTCATCGAACGAAGACGCGAGTCCTGGTGATATAGAGTCAGCTGAATCTTTAGCTCACGACATTAACAAGTACGCTGACTCGTATGATTTTCCGCTCGACCGGGACGGCGGCCAGCGCTACGAGGAGCGGAGTGATGTAGACAACTGATAGCTGTTAGTAGTCTGAGAGAAGACTTTCACGTAGCTCATGCATAAACTCAGTTGAATACCAACCTCACTGTAAAACTAAGTATGTCACTAGACCATTTCGTTGCCCGGATGTTGAACCTGACCTGAAGAATTAACGGGATCAAGTATTCTGGTAAAGACATCATGTAAATACGGGCAGTAAAAATATCTTTGCTCTCTGCACCCACTTAGCCATGTTTGAATCGCTTAGGTGCGCCAACATTGGAGCTTGCATTCGCGTACAACAAACAAAATCACCTCGAGTCATTTACAGAGTGATTCCATCTTCGGCTTTCTAAAAGTAATGATCATCATGAGGTACGGAAATATGTCGTTTTATCTTCTCATAATATTGTATTTAATAAAACAATTTTAATGCGTGTAGTGCGTATTACAAAACTTTGGAGCAGTACAGTATATACGATGATGTTTCACATTGAGGTCGGTTTAGAATCAGCGCTTCAGTTTTGGGTAGAGACACAGTACACCGCTCACGCTAATTAGTCGTGGTGCGAATATAGTCGTACTTCGTACCTATGAGGGACAAGAGAGTGCTAACGTATAATATGAATTAGAGTGCGGCACTCTATTTTTTTACGGTGCGGTAAAATCGAAATCGCGCACTCTATTTTATGCGCACTCTATTCCGACATATCACCAGCACTGACAGCTCAGGTGGTTAAGACACCAGGGTTTATTGAGGGCTCCAAGTGGGAGCAGGGTTGTCGCGGGTTCGATTCCCATCGAATACGTTAATTCTCCGTGCTGAAATGGTAAGTCTCCTTGTGTATTGTCATTAATCTAGCTGCAAGCCCGACTAACATATTTTTTGCTGCTGCTTAATCCTCAATGACGATGTCGTCCAGCGTCTCCATGATGTGCTCGAAATTTTCACAGTCGTCAACTCTTCCGCTATCGACGTCAGCACTGTCGTGGCTACGAAGTTCCCAAGCCACGCAGAACTTGGTTCCGTACACGTCGTGGCGAGCAACATGCCACGAAGTAGGATCGTCGCTAAAGCCACAGATCGAAACGATTTTCGCAACGACAGAGTCTGGCGTCTTTCGCCACGCTTTCATTACCCATGCTGCGACAAATTCAACCGCAGGCGGGCGAGGGTTCCCCCTCTAGTGTAGCGAACCTGGTCCGAGTGTTTCCACTCATTGATGATCTTGCACAGGCTGTCCTTAAAGGACTTGTAGATTCCGACATCACCCGCCTGGAGGTAGGGCGTCAAGCCTCCCCGGATCACGACCATGCCGACGTCCTTCTCCTGGCATCGCTGCTTGATCTTCTTGGCGATATGCGCCCGCATCGAGTCCCAGACGACATACTGTCCAGTCGTTTTGGCTATTTCAGGAAAGTACCAATCCAGTCAGCTGAGGAGCAGGTTCTGGTCCAACCACGCTCTCTCTTGATAAGCAACGTAGCACCCGCCGACACGCTCAATTGGACCCCGCGTCTTTCGCTTCCAGATAAGACACGGCGGCAGCTTCTTCCCTGACACTGTTACTGCAAGAGCCGCAGTAATTCGCATGGACGAGAACCCAGTTGAACGAATGACGACGTGGCGTGCTCCAACCTCATCAACCGTGTGAGCTCGAGCATCCTCAAAACAGACAGCGGTCTCGTCCGTTAGAATGGTCCGGTCACGGCTCATGGATGGCTTGTGGTCGCTCAAATAGATCATGTAGGAAACCGCTCTCTCCACCAACTCGTCATCGTCGAGTGTTGTGAGGTTGGTACGCTTTCGAAGCGTTAGACGGTTGCGCTTCATGAACCCTTGCACCCACGGATCAGACGCCACGAAACGTATTGGGTCGTCTTCGTGCTGCTCTTCTGAGCGACTTGCCTGAAAGAGCGCAATCGCAGTCGCCGCTATCCACTCCCGCGTCACTTTTTCTTTCCGGAGACGCTTATCGTCCAGCAAGTCCACCAACTCGTCTTCGACAACCCCTAGATGGGGCTTTCGACCCCCGCCAAAAAGCCGAAAGCGAGCAACAGACTCCGCACGAATTTGGTCGCGATCGCGCCACCACTTGCGGTAGGCAGACGCCGACACTCGCCAACCGAGCTAACGAAAGTGTGGCTCCGCCCGAGAGGGAATTCCACCTCCTTCGGACTCGATCCAGTCGATAGCCTGCTGCTTGAGGCTGATCTCGACGGACTTGCGTTGTGCTGGCATGACAAAAAGGAGACTGAGGAAACAAAGCAATTGAGGCCCAATACATGTGTGGTGCAGGAAACGAATGGCGGTGACAGGTGGCTCAGTGAGCGCACTCTATTGTTTTAGAGTGCGCTGCGGAACCTCACTCTATTCTAAGGGTACTCTATTCGCTAGGGGAACTCTAATCGATATTATACGTTATTACCACTTTTAAGTCGTGCACCACTTTTCGTCATACACCAGATTTAGTCGTTCAGCTGTTCACGGTCACTCAGTCGCTGTCGAGATCCTCTGAAGTTAATAACTGCCAGTTATACGTATTTTAGCACTGCCCATGAGCACCGACGGAAAGCGTTCTCTGCAACATGTTGTCGCTGTCAGTGACAGAATTAAGTGTGTGGAGTGGATGGCTGTGACAGCAGCATTACACGGAGAGAAGGGCCTCCCTGCCAAAGCCATCGAAGCCTTTCCAGCCTACTTCCGCTCTGATGACCGCCGCGTCAACCTGACAAGGCCCGAGACTGGTGGAGCAAGCGTTATGCTCTGGTGCAGCCTGAGGGAGAGCGCCAGCGAAAGTTCCGCGCAGTGGAGCTGGTAACCGTCACCAATTTGTCATGAAGGCAGCTGTCGGGAGGGGTCCTAAACTGGGCCTGGCTGTATCCTTTCCTATTGTCTGAGTTTGATCGCTTACGTAAAGCGGGGGTGAAAATGTCATCGCGATTGCTATTAGATATTGCGGTGAATTTGGTTGAGGACAGTGTTCACCCAGTGTACAAGAAAGCATTCCAATTTAGCAGTAAAACCTTTACTAATCTAGTTACACCTCGTCCAATCCAAGATTTCGCAGACCGACACGACATTGTCTACCGCCGCCTCAAGGGCAAAATCAGCAGCAAAAAGCAGTGCGTCATCCACGCGTCTGTTGCAGAGCATCTAGGGCGTCTAAAGCGTCAATTCGACGACGGTCTCATTGACCCCGATCTGCAATACAGCATTGATGAAAGTCATTTCGTTATTGACTTAGATGATGGCAAGACTCTTGATTTCCGTGGCGTCTCCCACGTCAAGTACCGTAGCGTGGTTTCTGGTAAGCTCAAAATTCTTTTTTATTAACTTTTTTGTGTGTTATCAGGACGCGAAGGGATTACAATGTGTGTGCTTCTTCGTGGCGGAACCAACGCACAAATAGAGTTCCCAATGCTCATCTTCAAAAATAAGAATGCAAATTATCCAATCCAAGGCTTGCCCGATTCAACACCTGGGGCGGCGTATCGAACTTCACCTACAGCCTTCATAAACAACAGTTTGATGCAGCAATGGCTGCATGAAGTCCGTTGTTGGGGACCAGGAGGACCTTTCGTCAAGGAACGCACACTGTGGATGGACAACGCGAGCGGTCATAGTGGAGACATGTCGTCGTGGTAGCAAAAGAATTGCACACAAAAGTGCGGTTTTTTTTTCATCTAATGCTACAGACCTAATACAACCGGCTGACCGGTTTCCTATTTAACAAATTAAGGAGCACTGGCAACGGCTCTGTGAGCAGCGGAATATGGCTGCAATCCGACGTGGAGATTGGCGACAAGGCTCCAGGTCGTTGCAGAACCCAGGAAAGAGATTCTTCTTGGAAACCGCAGCAAAATGCGTACAGCTGGTGAATTGCGAGAGAGATAAGAGCGGTCTCAACTGAGCTAAGAAGTCCATGGTTTTGTGTGGACAAGATGTTGGCTCTTGTGGCTACTGGAAAGTCGATCAGCTAGGCCGAGACCTGCAGGACATCGTCGCTGAATATCAAGATGAGTTCAAGAAGGGCTACGCAGAAGCTGGGCAGTCGGCTCAGCTTTAACCTTCTAGGATTCTACCATAAATAGTCATACTCTACAACTAGTAGTATGTCTCGATTAGTCGCTTTTTTTTGGGACTCTGAAGTCGTACCACCACTATTAGTCAGAGGCCGACTAATTAACGTGAACGGTGTATGCGTTTACTCGAGGCAACCTAAGTAATATTATACACTACTATATCTGATACAGGTGATCCCTCTATGTATTGATAGCGTCGGCCACATTTTATTCCTATATAGAGGAATCACTATAAGGAGCTGTACGGTACACATGACTCCAGAGGTTTTCTTGAGTTTGTAGTCACTTGATGGCGAAAATTACTATTGGGGATATCAAACAGAGAGGATCGTATTATATAAAAGCAGTTTTTTTTTAATTAAAATAGGAGATTTTTACTGTACTTGAGATCGGACTTAAGGCGTGTGAAGCCATACCGTGTTTGCGCAGGTACCGGTATTTATGTCGCACGAGCCAGTAACGTCCGCGCCTACGAGCCACCGGAGTTCATTCCAACGGAGGATCTACGCGCCGCAGGGAGACCGAAGGAAGACCAGCTACGATGCGTCTTGACGTCGTGTCCAAGGCCGCTCGCGCCGCCCAGCGCTTCTCGGCCCAGTGTCACGGCCAGAAGTTCCGTACGGCCCACGCTTCGGCCACGCTGCGTGCCGCTTTGGCCGTCGAGGCCAGCGAGGCCAACCAGAAGGGCCGTTCGGCCGGCCTGCTCGCTGCCATGGCCCTCATGGGTGTGGCCGGCGTGGCCAGCATGGACGACAATGCGGCCGCTAAGTGCGAAGGCGCGGCCAAGCCTGTGAGTCGCGAGGCCGTCACGCAGGCCATGCTCAAGGAGGTTGTAACAAAGCTCAACCGCATCGAGAGCGCCGTGGCCAACCCGCACCGCCACACAGATGGACTGAACGTCGGCGTGGACGTGGTGTTGGGCGCCCAATGGGGCGATGAAGGCAAGGGCAAGCTCGTGGACAGTCTGTCCCAGTCGTACGACGTCATTGTGCGTGTGGCCGGCGGCTCCAACGCTGGCCACACCATCGTGCACGAAGGCAAGAAGTACAAGTTCCACCTTGTGCCTTCGGGTATCCTGAACCCAAACGCCATCTGTATCATCGGCAACGGTGTGGTGGTGCACCTGCCGAGCTTCCTAGAGGAGCTCGAGGAGCTCAAGAGGATGGGCGTGGACTACGAAGGCCGCATCCTCATCTCGGACCGTGCCCACATGGTGCTGGACTTGCACCAAGAAGTGGACGGTATTAACGAGCTACGTCGTGGCCGTAACAAGATCGGTACGACCAAGAAGGGTATTGGTCCGGCCTACTCGTCCAAGATGCTGCGTAACGGCGTGCGTGTGGGTGACTTGCGCTACTTCGACGATTTCACGGAGAAGATGGTCGATCTGGTCAAGTTCTACAAGGACAACTACCCGGAATTAGAGGCCGACGCTGAGGCCGAGATCAAGGTGTACAGTGACATGAAGGACAAGATCCTGGACATGACGGTGGACACTGTGTCGTACCTGAACAACGCGTACGTGGCTGGCAAGAAGATCCTGGTGGAAGGAGCCAACGCTACGATGTTGGACATTGACTTTGGTACGTACCCCTACGTGACGTCGAGTAACCCCAGTATCGGTAGTGTGTGTACTGGTGGCGGTATTTCACCGAACCGTCTGAACGGTATTATCGGTATTGTCAAGGCGTACTGTACTCGTGTGGGTGAAGGTCCGTTCCCGACGGAGCTGCACGACGACGTTGGCGAGCACCTCGGTACGGTCGGTGCCGAGTTCGGTACAACCACAGGCCGTGCACGTCGTTGCGGCTGGCTGGACATTCCCCAGATGCGCTACTCGAACATGGTGAATGGCTTCACGGAGCTCAACTTGACCAAGCTGGACGTGTTGACGGGCCTCAAGAAGGTCAAGATCGGCGTCGCGTACTGGCACGAGGGTAAGAAGCTGGACGGTATGCCGTCCAACTTGCAGCTCTTGCAGGACTCTGTCGTCGAGTACGAAGAGATGGAAGGCTGGTCTGAGGACATCTCCAAGTGCAAGACGTTCGAGGAACTGCCGGTGGCTGCTCAGAAGTACGTGCTGCGTGTGGAGGAGCTCCTGGGCACGCACATCAAGTGGATCGGCGTGGGTCCCGACCGTTTCGACGTCATCACGCGCACACACCCGCTGGAGAAGGCGTACATCTCCGGCAACTAGAGAGAAGAGACTTGCGCTGCTTCTCAAAGGCTTTGGAACCTGGAGTAGATAGCAGATAGGCGGCCAGGCGGATGCAAACACCGGAACCCTTTCTGATCTTTGGATCTTCGAAGTAAAAAATACTAAAGTCCGCTTGGGTGAAAAAAAAAATGGGGTTTCTTTGCACTTTTGCTTCACTTTACGTGCAGTACACCACAAAATGTACCGGTATACCGGTTTAACAAAGCAGTTAAATTCCGACATTTTTGGCGAGTCGCGATCATAGCAGAAGAGATGGCGGAGCGGCAATTCAAGATCAAAGTGGGCACCTTGCGTCGGTGGGTATTGTAGTATCTACCTACCTTTTCTATTGCTTACATCGTGGTACTTAGGGTGAAGAAGGACTTGGAATATTACGCGAAGGAGCACGCAGCGCAGCAGGACAAGATCGCAAAGATGCGCGCAGACGGCAAGGACGAGCACGATATCCGTAAGCAGGAGGAAGTGCTGGTAGAGACGGAGACGATGCTGCCAGACTGTCAGAGTCGTCTCAAAGAGGCAGCCACCGACGTCTCCAACTTCATCGAGGCTCATCGCGACGAGGTGGAGTCCCTCGAGATCTTCAAAGAGGCCCAGGAGATACTCGCCGCCATCCCTACGCTATCTCAGTAGAATACAGCATCGATCTGTAACGAGACACTAATTGACACTCTATTCCCTAATTTTTACGGGAGGTTTTAGAATCGAGTGACACTAAACGCGAGTTTGGTTGGTACTTTGCGCTCTGGAGAGCAGCGACTTGCCTGCTTTTCCGGTGACAAACTTGGTAGATTGAGCTTTACTGAGGGTGGGGAATGCAAGTGGTGGACACGTGGAGAGCCCGGAGCTGAAGATACTAGAGGTGGGTAGTCCAGCGACCGTGGAAGCGGGTGTACATTTGTATCACCCTCAGATATTCGGGCTACGGCACTGGAAGGCAGGCTGGTTTGAATCTTCACTTTAACTAGTGCTGCTCTTGAGTTAGAGACTCGAGGTGGACCTTCGGCTAGCCACGGATGAGCTAGCACTTGGTGTATCGATAATCGTTCCGACGGGGTTTCACATAACATGCCGAGTAGCGCACTCCGCAGCTTAGAAGAGTATTTCCATTCGGATCCGTGGCAGTAATCTCGTGTTTGTGTCAGTGCCTAACAGTGAATTAGAGATTTGCTATCAGGAGTGAGAAACCAGTTTCTTACCGCTTTAACGAACTCGCCGAATGTCTTGGGCTCCTTTAAGATGGAAATGTCATACATTGACATCCAGATCGAAGAGAAAAGTGTGTTTCCGAGCACTAACTGTATTCTTACGACATTAGAGTTCGAGTCACGTTAGAGATCAGAATACCGGTAGCGTATTACCTCAAGCAAGATGCAGCCGATACTCCAAACGTCTGCCTTATATCCGTCATAACCGTCATGGAGCAATAACTCGGGAGCAAAGAAGCCAGGACTGCCGCAGAAATCATGAAGGGCTGTTGTCGCTTTCGTACACAGACCAAAGTCGATGAGTTTGATCAATTGTGAGCTCTGCGGAGCATACAACACATTCTCTCTACGACAGCAACCAGTTAGCGACTCAAAAAAGTGCAACCCGTAATCCCTTACGGCTTCAAGTCTCGATGACAATAATTGTTGCGATGTAATACTTCCACGGCTTGTGCAAGGTGTAGTAGCAATGGACGTATCGTATCCTCTCCAAGTCCATCCACATGAGCTCCAAAGAACTCGAATAAGTCCTTACCTCCGCGTTCTGTGACCAAATAGACATGATTATGTGTATGGAGAACGTCCACTAGCTCCAAGATCCCTGGATGTCGAATATACGGGTCGCTTAGTGACGAGATCTCGGAGCTGATGCGATGCAGCGATACGAGATCCATGAGTTTCTGTTTGTCTATGGCCTTGATCGCTAGCTCGGAGCGTTCAGGTGTGCTTGACGTGTACACAACAGCGTATTGGCCGTAGCCTAGTACTTGCTCTAACGGATACTTCCCAACTGTCGTAGGAGTCTCCGGTAACGTAGTTAACCGCGGTATCGCGCGAAGACTTGGATCACGAGCGGGCAGATATTCCCACATGAGTTTACGATGATTCTCGGCTAGTTTATCGAACTGAGTCTTCATCTCTTGCACGTCGTCGAAGAACTGCTCTTGCTCTATCTCGAGATGTTGCGCCTTAGCTTTGAACGAATCAACTTGCTCGGATAGAAACTTGATCTTCTTGCTTTTCCTGCCAATCTTCCGTAACAAGTGACTGGTATCGCCAGCACTAAACGGTCCACTCGGTGGCGTATCTGTAGTCTCAGGACATTGATTATTCTTGAGGAGGACACGCAGGGAGTCTCTGTCCAAATTTTTCCTTGCAACAACCTATCAAGTGCGTCTCATTTAGCTCATATTATTGAAGAATAGAGTTGCGAGATATACCAGTTGATGATCCTGAAGTTCAGCAAAACTCTTTAGCAAAGAGAAAGGTTATTCGCCAAGTTAGTCTCCTTGAAGTTCATTTGGTGCAGTGTACGCCACGCTCACTGATGGTAAACTCGAAAGAATTTCAACTGGGGTCGCGGAATCTAAAGTGGCAGTAGTTTTTGGTTAGCCCAACCGAGTTCCTCGTTGATTAGAGTAAGAACGCACTCTGCAGGGCGCCCAAAACTACATCAAACAGCGTGTCGACGCCACTGTTCCCTGCAAGCACCAGCACCTCCATGGCTTTTTCAATTGTCGGCGACTTGTGTCCATTTAGGTCAGTGAACGGTGGCTATACTTATCTTCCCAGTACTGCCCCCTCTGTCTAAAAGATGAACCATCACATCAATAATAATAGCACCCGTCATCAACTCTTCACTGGTCGGCATCCTTTCCTTAGATTCACATCCCCGCCTCCACGTAGAGACAGTTCCATCGCCATCTCTCGCAATCCGAAAGCAATCATGACCGCTAGCTACCTTCACTGACGTTGCAGTGCTTGTTGCTGGTAGAATTCCTCGAGTTTGGCTAGAATATCCATCGTGTTCTGCTTCAAGATCTTCCGGATAGCCATGACAATCTCTTTCCCCGTAAACTCCGTGTCTTCATCGAATGCGTCTTGGAAATGGAAGTAGATATCGTTCATGAACTCCTTGAAGAGCTCACTCAGCGCCGCATACTCCTGGTCATTCTTTGCAGACTGCAACTGGGTCATTTCGTGTTCTTTTAAAGCCAACAGCTCCTCAAAGTGTCGTGCTTCCGAGTGAAATCCTTCTGCTTGCTGCTTCAACATCTTGGAATCACCCTCGAGCTGTTGAACACGCGCCACTAGCTCCTGAACACGCGAGTTCTGAGCGGCCTGAGACTTGACTGTCTCGTCCTGTAGCTGGACCTGTTGATTCTGCGCGTGACTCAGTCTGTTGTTCATCGTCTCTCGCTCCACTTCCCACTGTTTCTTCTGCGCGGTCAACTCTGCGACTTGGGCTTCAAGTGCAGCCTTCTCCGTCGCCGTTCGTTCCATGGCATCCTTCGAGCCTTGACGAACGTCGTCTTTAACCTGTTGCTGCAGCTGTTCCAGCTGCTTGTGCATTTCTTCTTGCAGCTTCGTCTTCTCCTTGGCGAGCTGTTCATCCTTCGCAGCCAACTGAGCTCGAAGCTGGTAATTCTCTTCCTGGTAGACCAGCATTTGCTCTTGTGTGTGGCTCAACTGCTGCTGCACACTGCGCAATTCCAAGCGGAACTTCTCTTGCTGTAAATAGTTCCCGTTCTGCAGCTTGTCCAGGAGCGACCGGTTCTCCATCTGAAGCGATTCGTGCTGACTCTGCAGCTCTTCCACATTCGCTTCGAGCTCGTTGTTCGCTTCTTCAAGTCGAGAGTTGGTTGCCTGGAGCTCGTCACGTTGAGCAAGAGCCTTTTCCAGATTCTTCAGAAGCATAGAAGACGACGAGGACGAGGAGGATGATAGGGATGATCCACCACTGTACTTGCTAGAGCTTGCCACAAACTTGGTCGATTTCAACGAGTGCTGCGAGTTCAGCAGTCGATCCATCTTGGACTGCAGTTCGTGCAACGTGGTCTCGATCGACGTAGATGATCGCTGCAGTCGGATAATACCATTCTCAACATCTGGTGACGAATTTGACCCCGATGTACCTGTCGCTGATGAATACGACGGGTACGACGGGGCCGTGTATGGCGTTAGAGATGACGAGAACGCACTCGGTGCTGGGGGAGGCTGCGACGAAGGGACGAAAGAAGACGAGAAGGACGACACCATATCCAGCTTCGGTGGACTCCATCGACTAGTAGAGGCTCCGTAAGATGAAGCCCCGTTGGGTGGAGCGCTTGGACCCATCAGCGCAAAAGATGATGGCGTGAAGGAAGCTGGCTTCTCTTTTAACTCCGTCACTCTTGACGACTTACCACCGACACCGTTCGACGAGTGCGATGGCTCAATCGAGCTTGTATCTTCAGACTCCAGCTTGCGCTTACTCTCTTCCAGTTGTTCACGCAATCGAGCCAAGTCGGATTGTTCCTTCATCAAACGTTCCATGTCACTGGATACGTTTGTTCCGCTTTCTGCTTTCGCACGACTCTCAATCGAGTGTTTGAGGGGCTCAATCACTTTGGCAGCCAACGACGTTGCGTGCGACGGAGACGCAGCTTCTTGTTGTATCTGAGCTTGCATTTCGTTGTGCAGATTGCGCAACGATCCTGGTCGTTCGCCTGGAAGTTGAAGACCAGCTAGCAGCACCGGGACATACCCAGCAGGAGGGTCTCCGGACTGCTGCCCAATGGACGACGCTCGCGTCAACGACGTATCAATCTCACTATGAGGCTCCATTGAAGATCGACTGTCCAGTTTGGTCTTCACACTTGCAATTAGCCCAGAACTTTGACTTCCCATGCGAGATAAACTTGCCATACGCTTCACCAGCTCGTCATGATCCTGTTCCTGATCCTCTGCTGTGTCCACATTCTGCTCTACGGCACCGGACGTGGTGTTCTTCTTCACTTTGACTAGTTCCATCTCTGCGATGACCCACGTGTTCGTCTCCGGGAACGTCACGGCCACGAGTCTCTTCCCCATCTTCTGCATGCCTATGAGCGCCTCCGTGGCCAGAATCCTCGTAAAGGGGTCCATATCACTTGATCCTTCCTGTAATTTAATCCTCTTCACTTCTCCACTGGCTTCAGTCGTCGGCTGCTGCTTAATATCCAGAGGATTGGATGAGAAGAAGCTCTCCCGCTGCTCAATCGTTCCTTGCCATTTTTTGACCGTGACACCGGCCACGTCGCCCAGATTGAGCGGCGCGGCATTCTCCTTACCGATAGACAGTTGATCTACCAGTACCGCGGGCTTAGTGCGGTCGTAGGACTTGCTATAGTGCACTAAAACCTGAGCCTTAGTGTAGGACACTGCGGACATGAAAGCTTCACTCGTAGTTGCGTCCTTAAAGCGCATGGCGAAGTTCCGCTGCGTCTGGCGCTCGTAGAAATTGACATAGTTGTCTTTTTGAGGCACGAAACGTGCGCTGGGCGTCACGGGGAGCTGTAAGAGAGGTGTCTTTTTAGTGTCGTAGAGTAACAGAGAGAAGGCGTCTGAGCCGCTCTGCGCCGCGTGCTCGCCCGCTAGAAGAGCACAGCCCACAGCTGCATCGGTCTGCTGCGTGTATGACCCGCTGACGTCGTCGTAGACGTACAAATAGACCGCGCAAGAGTGCAGGAGCGCGCCTTCCGCCATGATTGTCGTCGAATGCGGAATTGAGTTTTGGGGGGTTGAAGCAATGGAATTTGGGAGGTTAAAAGGTGCGTATTAGAGATGAAAGGTTCAAGGGATACCGGTACGTGTACCCGGGATTTACGTGGTGTACACCAAAGTATCCGATTCGAAGTCGACACTCGACGACTGCCACTGTCGATTCTCGACGCTTGATGCCGATATCTGGCCGATGCCAATGCAGTGCATTATGCACCGCGCATTGCACGATGCTGTCAGTATTGCTGGTGGCCGGCGACCAGATTGCTGCATACAGTTCTTGCCCGAATTAAGCGGGTTCCTTGAAGGAAGTTCCTTGTCGGCGGCAGACAGCCTGCCAGACTGGATATTATGGCTGCAGTGAACCACTACGGCATCTAAACTGTAGGCCTACAGCCTTAGTGGCCGTAATGAAGACTGTATATAGCTACTTTAAGGAGACTTGTAAGTATTAATTCAAGCCGTGAAAACGTGAACCCACTCTTTCATCAAGGTAATTCGACATCACAGTTGACTTCCACGAGCAGGCATTGTTAGTGCCTTCGCTGCGGCATTATCGTCATAACGACAGTTTTCCCGAGCAAATGATGGCCCAGCGGAGGCCGTTGCGAGCTTAGAATTTAGGTGCTACGCAGGACTCGTAACCAGTTGCAAAATTTAAGTACTGGGTGCTATTACAGTTGGATTTCAGCTTATAGAATGCAGCCATCGAACACGTCCTTAAACAGATTGCAAGCTGCACAACGCTCGCAAAAATGGCGAGCCGGATAACAACAAGATCAATCACATCTCCAATTTAACTTTTCCGCAGAGCACATACAGAGCGTGGGGCTCATTGCTGTAGAGTCCGCAGCAGACGCTGCTTCATTGCGGAGACTGTGCCAAGCGACGGAGGAATTTTCTTATCTGAGTCGATACTCAGATATCCCCGTGCTGCCCTTATCTGAGGGCGTGACTACTGTAAATTACAATCAGATCTTTTTTTATTCGTTTTTTCTTTCTCAGCTACCGGTAAATACTTTCTAAGAAAGAACACAATTGGACTTTTAATAAAGTATTTTTACGTAAGCTTCGCGCGAAACAAGCTACGACCGATGTGACCCAATAAAATGAAAACCTAGAAGCAGCATAGAAATTATTTCAGTTAGGTCTTGAAGCATTTTTATCAACAGTCGAAATTCGGAGTGAATAAGGCTTTCTGCTAAAAGCATTTTAATTAGAAGAGCATGCTGCAGCATGCTCACTTCTGCGTGTTTGGAGAAATGCACCCAACAAATCGCTTCGATATTCTTCACACAACTTCATGAATAGAAATCAAAGGCGTCTTAAGGGTAGGCGCCCGGCCAGTCGCCTGTTCAACCACACTCGATGTTGCTTCCACGTAAATAAAGTTATTGCTGTGAGCTAAACAAGAGTATTTGACTCAGTGCTCTCTTTGAATTTTATCCAGCTTGAATGCGGCCGCCTTATTCGTCGATTTTCCAGCCCCGCGTGAAATAGTGCAAAGTCGTTGTCACAATCGCTATCAACCACCTCCGTGCGCTCATTATCCTAAGGCTACAGGATATCAATATTTAATGTTGTTGATCAATACAAGATTTGTTTAGACCTTTTTTAGAAAATATAAAAATTGTATTAAACGACTTTCTAAGGGGGCAGCTTTCGCTAAAAGTGTGGAATTACCCCGTTTAATAATGCATATAACTGCTTTTTAATTTTTTTGTTTTTTCTTAGTAACTACTAGCAAAACAAAACGTAGCTTAGTAGAAAAGAAAAAATAGTGCTTTGTTTTTTCGATGTTCTGTGTTTGTTAATCTGTAAATAGTTGTTTCTGACGCAATTAAACAAGTTTGCGAGCTGCGAGGATCGCTTTTCGTACAGACTCTTTCGCGCCAAATGCTTCTTGAGTCCTTGGGAAGTCTTGGAGGTCCTTTTACACAAGCTGTATGTAGTCGATGCCTTCTTTCGACCAGCCAGGTGGGGGTCACCTTCTTACCGAGCTGTTCACTCGTTTTAATTAAAACCCCATTTTTGCGAATCGTCTTGGGACCATTTTGAGTGGATATCCACTCAGATAAGAAAATACCTCCCAAATGACTTAAGTCACCTGTCAGTAAGCGCCCAGACAAATCATCGCTCTTGCTGGATATCGTTGATCGCACACTTTGGGCCAGTTCGGGTGCGTAGCCGGCGCACCCCAGATACAAAGTTGAAGACAGTTGCGAGAAACCGGGGCTCGAGAACGTCACCTACGTAAGTAGCGCGTGCAGCCCTAGCCAGCAATTGGGGCCTGAGTTTCGTCTAACAACGCGAAAGGCCGGAAAGCGCGCAGGTCGGAACCAACCTCGACGTCGCGATCGAACGCGCCTGCAACGCGGCAACAAACAGCTCCAGCGCACTGGCGCACTCTCTCTGGGAGGGCGGAAGAAGGCATCTAATCGGTAGATACACTTGTTCCTGATAAGGAAAAACGTCGCATGCGTCGCGAGAAAGCTTCATAAGCTAACAACTCGCTTCTCTCGCTGTACTTCAGAGTCACGGGCACCGGTTGAAGATGTTCAAGTCGCTCTTCCGCTGCATCCGCAGGTTCTTCGGCCGCATTAAGCCCAAGGGCAAGGAGCAGCTGCAGCGTCCGACCGAGTATGGTGCCAATATTGACATCGAGGAGGCACTGGCCGAGCAGATGGAGATCCAGAGGCGAAGCGGTCGTGTGCTGTCCTCTACTGCCAGTCTCGCTGCTGCATTGCGTCAGCGTCCACGTGAGAAAATTCCAGCCTTCTCGACGCATTTAGGCGATAATGAACACCGCGAACCTTCCGACCCGGCCATTAAGGCTGCGGTAGAGGAGATGCAGAGTCTAACTCCAGGGTATATCGGCCAGACGGGTGAAAAGCCCGAGTCGTTAGTGGCCGCTAAATCGCCTGTCGTAAGTAAGCGAGTGTCGTCCAGTAGAGTGCCTTCCAGCGCAGGCTCCTCGTTCAAGATCCCGGAGTCCGTGCCGGAAGATGGCGAGCCGAAGGAGGAGACTGAGACGAAAGACCAGGAGAAATCGTCCCCAGCAGCTGAGCGACCATCGGAGATGAACCCACGCCGTTCATCGATCTTCGACATGCGGTCAGAGTGGATCTAAGACGGAGATCACCATAGAGCGGGCAGAGGAATGCGACGGGCTCGACGTACAAGACACATGCCCGGTCGTTTTTGTATATAGAAGGATGGCAGCTCCCATTGCGAGCGTCAGCAAGTGCGGGGGGACTAGAGCAACACAAATAGAGCGCCGGTGGACGGCAAAAATGGAGGTAGGGAACTTATTATTTGCCTCTAACGTTATAATTGGCTCGACGGCAGGCTAATATGAGGGTACCATAGCATGGCATGATGATTGTTTTGCATGCATCTTCGGTTTCGTAGAGGAAAATGGATAGCGAGTGGCAACTAGTCCACCCGCAGCGAGCGCTCGTACAGGATATTTGCAGCTGCATGAGTGCATTAAGATTAGTTTGGACCCGGACATGCCCCGGAACGATCTGCCTCCAAGCCGGCGACTCAGATTGGTGACATAAGCCATCAGTCCAGTTGTCGTTGCAGGCCGAGTGCATCCGAGACGGCACGGGATTCTTTCTGCATTAATTATTGTCAAGATTTTAAGCGTAGGAATTCATAAGCGTTGGTTTCCCTTTACGGTCTCTTTCGGAGGTGTCAGAAGTTCAGCACTGGTTGCTACATCGCGAGCAAAATACAGCTCCATGCATCTTAATCGCTAGCTGAGCTTCGTCATTCGGTATCCCAGAAGACTTGTTGATGGAACTCTCAGCACCAAGCTTTGATGTAGAAAATTTCGTCAGCAGACTTGGGCTCGACGGCCTGCGCTTTGTCCGTCGTACGTCGTCGCGCTCGACAGTACCAGTGTCACAGCCATCGCAATCAACCTTGCAGCAAGGTCCTTGCTCGTTTTCGATGCTGTCGTGTTGTAGCAATGCCAAATTGCCACTGAGAAATGACACGTGGCCATCCCGGACAACAACGCGCTGTCTATTATGCCAGCAGTATGAAAAAGGTTTTGCATTTTCGGGTACCTATTTATCGGTACATTTGTGGTCACTCTTCTCGAGTTTAGTACCGTCAATATGGTACACTTTAGTACCGGTATCTTAATTTTTTGCTTGAACAGCTTTTGGCGGGAATCGAGCTTTTGGTTTTGGCGCTCGATTTCAGCCAATTCCGCACTCAGTTTACAACAACTTCAGCCATTAGAGCCATGCTGGATCACCTTCTGCCGCTCATCTACCGCGAGTACGAGTACTTCGACGAGGCCAACAAGGAGAACTACGGCTACGTCATCCGTCGGCGGTCACGACCTGTATCTTCCACGGTCTCCGCAACGTCGCGCACGCCTCCACGTCCTCTTCGACGCAGTTGCTCCAGTACCAGAGTGGAAGGCGGCGTGGCCTCTACTCGTAGTCACAAGCGTCGTCGTGAAGCCTCCGACGATGGCAATGAAGAACGTGGAGGCGCGAAGAAACAGGATACCACAGCGGAGACGAAGCCTGCAACCAGAAGCCGCAAGAGACAGCGCGATGTCACAGACGACGGCGACGAAGAGAGAGGACACGCCAAGAAACAGGAGACGACGGAGAGCGCAGTGGAAGATGAACAGGTAAGGAACGAGAAGAAACAGCCCTCAATAGCTGAACAGAAGGAAGCGAAACAGGACGAGAACGATCTTGTGACGCCCGTGAAGAAGCCACAGGAGCCCAAGATGTCAGCGAAAAAGGCCAAGAAGATCATCAAGAAGAAAGTCAAAGTGACGGAGAAGAAGAAAACTGTCAAGGTATCCAAGAGTGCGACGCCCAAGCGTATCCCATTGCAGGATATCACACACCTCTATGTGAACGAACACGCGCGTTTGTACGAGTCTCATCAACGCGAACTCTCGGTGGCTGGACTCACGACTTCCGTCGCAATTCGCTTCTTCTAGGTACGCACGAGCTCATCTATTACCTCAACTGTACAGGTCTCTGATAATGTTGACGGCGCTCCCCAAGTCCAGTACTTCGTCTTCAGCAGGCCGTTAGATTAGCCTATTTAGCGTCTCACCAGCGCATCACTCTACTCTTTTGTATTTCAAAATTGACGGAGTGGTAAATGGTGAGCTCCCTGTCCCGCTATGGCATGTTCAAGACTTCAAGATCCTTCCTTTGCACGTGAAGACAAGTGTATTCAAGATGCAAAAGGTTCCTGCCCTTCAGAGCACCTCATTACGTGCCAAGTTGGTGCAGAAACCTTAGGGGATACAAGCCTACGGTCCTTCGATCCAAGACGCCTCTCCTCATTCTACCAAGAAAAGCAACAGTCGAGATTCTGCATAAGTTTCTTCTCATCACAAAAACACTCAAGCTGCCAACGTCAATTTCCTCACGACACCGAATGCTGCACCTCATGACGTGCGCAAAAACATCACTCGACGACCTGTGGTCAACACTGCACCTCATTTCGTGCACGTGTGAGCACTAGTTGTCGAATGGATTTCAGCTTTACAAGGGATATCCGCAGCCTTCTCTAACAGACATGCCAAAGCTGCACCTCATTTCGTGCACGCTTAGGTTTCTGTATGTTAAGTGGGCGGTGGATATCGCTGTCAAAGTCTTTGTGGTCGAATCGAATTCTATCGTGACTGAACTGCACCTCATTACGTGCATGTTCGAGTATGATTTACATTCGAATCGGTTCGGAAGCTTGGACATGTCAAGCTGGATTCAGACGCTGTGTTTGCTCACTGTTGGTGTCGGAATCAAGACTTTGAACATCGAAGGAAAAGGCCTGCTGTCAAGAACCTCAATGGATACGAAGAACCTCAATGAATACGACTGCACCTCATTCCGTGCAGTCTCTCTCTATTCACCTTCTTCACGACCAAGATCAACGCAAGCAACACCTCATAACGTGTGCTTTGTCGTCTAAGATCGTCGCTCAGTATAGATTCTCAAACGTAGGATAGCTCGTCTTGTTTACTACAGTATATTCTGTGTAGTCCTTAAACTAACATGTAACACATGCATTTTCATCGTACGGTTATGCTGTATCATACGAGTTATGTGAGCAATGAAGCATTTGTTTTACATTTTATTGCTCTAATACAGGTTAAAGCACAACATAAAGCAGGATAAGTCCACCCTTATCACTTTACAGACAGTTTAAGCCGCTGAGTCGTGTGGCTGCTCTTTGACGGGTGTCTCTTGCTTCAGACCTAGCAGTTGCATCCACTTGCCCGAGGCCTTCGCTTCCTGCACCGCTGCCAGTCTCTGAGCCAGCACCTTAGATGGGTTCGCCCATTCGCCCCAGAACACAGTCATACCTCCTGAGCCCTTGGATTCCTGTTCGTTCAGCGCCTTGGTAATACGCTGAGCCAGTAACTGCGACGGATATTCGATCAGCTGGTATGTTGTCGTAGCCAGCATACACAGCATTGCAAAGCGCGAGAATAATCTGCAGTAGTAATTCGGCTGCGTGTTCACTGACTCGTTGTATAGCACAAAGCTATGCAGCAGATAGACCGAGAAGCTAATCTTCCCCCAATAACGCAGAAAGCTCCACTCGAGAATCGATGATAGCGGGGACGGCAGCAGCATTTCGCAGACAAATACTGTGGTCACCAGCACGCTAATGAACGGGAAGCCAGGCGTCTTAGGTGCCGTGTTCTCGTGGACCCAGATGAAGAACAGACCACTGAAGGCAATGCTCAGAAACGCCGCTAATGCCGAGTATCCTATTAAACGCAGGATAAGCTTATGGATAAGACGGAACTGGAAGCCACTAGCCTTAATCCATGTATCCAGCTTAACGAAGAGCACTGCAGCCATTGATCCTGCCAGGAACGTCGGGAGATGAGGACGCATTACCGTGTGACTTGTGCGATACTCGGTCCACCCTTGCGTGATGACCCAGTAGTACGCCGGGATAAACGGTACCCACCAGAGCTTACGCAGCATAAGCACACCCAATACAAACACTGGGATAAAGAAGTAGTACGAGATCTCAAGCGGCAGCGTCCAGAAGACGAAGTAACGGTAGTCGAACTCAAAGGTCAGAGTCCTGAACAGGTCGTACGTCTCTGGCTGCTTAATGAGGAAGTAGCGCTTCTTGTCCTCGTCGTCCATGAACCACAATGCGATGCATGTGAGTGCAAAAAGTGGGTACACTCGGCAGAATCGCTTGGAGAAATAGTCGGCCAAGGCGAAGATCCATTTGCGCAGTCCCGCACCTTGATCAAGCATACGGATGCTCTTCTTCATAAAGAGCCACGTGAGGAGAAATGACGACAAGACGAAGAACGAGTCAACCGCCACGGCGCCCAGGTTTAAATCCTGCATGTACTCGTGCGAGTGTTGCGTGACGACTAATAGCGCGGCTAGACCACGTATACCATCCAGGAATAAAACCTTGGTGGGTGGAGCGGCCGCCACTGCCGCCTTCTTGGCCTTCACGGGCTTCTTCTCCTTGTCGTTGTCCTGCTCGTCCTGAGCCAGTAGCGGTTGGTCCTCCGGCGCAGTCTGCACGTTCACAACCGTATCGGCTTCCGTAGTGATAGTGGAGGTGTCATGCTCCGATGGTGCGTGCGTGCGCAGCATTGTCGGCAATGAGGTTCACGAAGAGTTTTCCACCGCTAGACAATTGCCAAGTGGGGCACGTTGCTTTGCTGTTCGGCATGAGGTGGCTTCAGTAAACGGCTATATCGGGATTTGGCGTGTTGTGGCTGGCCCCTTACAAAAACCAAGTGATGTTGTCTTTACCACGGCGTGTGTTTTCGGAAGTATAACCTGTGCAAAGTGATTGCGGTAGTGGAGAGCTTCAACTAAAGCCGCATGTTTGACGTATCTTATGTATACATTTACTTCGGAACTCGATTGTGTATATGTACTACAAAGTGATAGCGGAAATTGCTAAAACCAGACGGTGTTTTCTCGCTGCGTGCGTTAAGATCCAAGCTCGCGGTACTGCATCTGCTGCATCTGCTGCAGAGCTATGGCTGCATCGAGCAAATGCGAGAGCACAATGTTGCATCCTTCATCACTTAAGCTGGACATTTTAATTTGGTTTCAGTATGCGTGCGACCGTTGGACTGAGATCTTTCCAAGCTGGCTGCAAGACGCACGCAACACTTCAGCATTGACCTCTTTCCCTCCCCCGATGCCACCATCAGGATGTCGATTGGAGCCCTAGTACAGTAGTGGTTCACTACGCATGATCGCAATTTAATTCTCACTTGAGGGTTGCCATCTACTGTAGTGCCGTTCACGACTCGTGATTCACGATTGACAATTAGTCGAATCTGGACACGCCATTCGTGATGTGTCAGGATGTCAGGTACCGGCTCAAGGTATGTAGAGGCGTCGACAGCTTTCTCGTTATTGCTGACAAAGATCGACAACTATACTACGTTTACAACACACTTTCACTTATGCTTTCGACTCGCGTGGCTTACTCTTCGCCAACGTTGTCGACCTGCTTCGTATCTTGTGCGCCACGCTTGGATGACAAGTAGTAACCCCACCGGAACCTTTCTTTTCCTGCTCCTCAAGCCCCTTAGTGGTTTGTTGCGACTGCAATTGCAACGGATACTCGACCACATGATCGAATATGGTAGACAGCAGTAGAACCAACGCAAGGCGAGAAAACACCTTATCGTTCGGCTGAGAACCGACCTCGTGTGCAAACAACACGCCGAAAAGCTGACCTTCCCCCAATAACATAGTACATCCCACTCGAAGATCCTTGACACACAGGACGGTACAATCATCTCGCAAAAATCATCGCCAACGGCAATCAAAAAGCTATTTATTGGTGCCGGGTTTTCATGCACCCAATGAAAAAACAAGCTGTGGAAGATTAAACTGAGAAACACTGCGACCGTAGTGTACTCGACGATGCAGATCACGACTACGTGCCCCTTTCGGAACTCAGAGGCGCTAGTTTTAACCCACGAGTCGATTTATATGAAAATGACCGCATACAGTGACTCGGCCAGAAATGTCGGGAAATGTGGACGCAACTCCATGTGGCTCGACCAAAATTGTACCAGCCTTCGTAGATAACCCACCAACACGCGGGGAAGAACGGTAGGAACCAGAAACGACGCAATGCGAGGATACCGATTACAAGCAAAGGGATGAAGAAATAGTACGCGACCTCGAGAGGTAGCGTCCAAAATACAAAGTAGCGGTAGTCGGCTTCAAGCAGCAGTACCTTGTACACAACGAAATCTTCTGGTTTCTGAGCTACATAGTAGAGCTTCTTTGCTTCAGCAGGAAATTACCGATCACAAAACTTGTCAACGCAAAAAGTGGGTGCACTCGACAGAAACGCTTGGAGAAATAGTCGTTCAGAGCGAATACCCATTTGCGGATACTCACCTTGTGTCAGTAAGCGAATGCTCTTTTTCATAATGAGCGAAGTCAATAGGAAGGGCGATACCACGAAGAACGTGTCGACTACGATGGCTCCAAGGTCGATGTCTGCCATGTATTCCTTCGAGTGTGACGTGCATACTATCAATGCTGTGAGGCCACGAACACCATCCAGGAACAGGATTTTGTGGGACGCTGGTCGATCTGGACTTTGCTGTGCTGTTGTGTGCCTCTTCATTCTTGTGCTGCTCGGACGGTGATTCCATGATGGACAAAGCGATGTCCGGAGATGAGAAAGCTTTGCATTGCGCAGCATCGCGTCTGAAGTAGATGCAAAAGTAGCTGAGCGGTAGCCTCTCTTCGAGTCGATAGATTCTCGACCTCGATTCGAGGCTCGAAGGTGTCCGTGGTTGCCATTTGGACCAACATGTCCGCTGACTTGATTCCCCGGCGACGGAAGGATTGGACAAAAAAACTGTTCACTATGGAGGTATCATAGTACTGTTGACTTTGTATACTAGCTTAGATGAGGTATCTATCACCTGGCCCACCTATGGTACTTCTACCATTTTCCTCGTTCACAATGAAGCACTGAGAATAGACGATAAGTATGCAACTAACACGCATCAATAATCTTATTATGGGCACAAAGCTACACCGAAAATTATAGATTTAGAACTCACGCTTGACTGTATTTCAAGGGGCTAAACTTGCAGATGAAGAGATATGGAAATAGTACCATTAATGGTGTGTTCTATCCTAAGAGGAGGACGAAGAGTTATTATTCAACCCATAGCTAACGGATTCTACTGACGCAAGAACACGTCTGTGCGGGTCCAAAATTGGGAAGCACGAGGAATATCTCGATACAGAGGAGGAGTTGAATCTCGCTCTCTTATTTCCTTCACATCGCAATTTACCAGCATCCTGCAAGCTCCCCCCCCTCCCCCCAACTTTCAGAGCTCCACGTGTCTCAAACACCTGAAACATGACGAAATCTACTTCGCGACAGAAGACCAACAACGCCAACACTAGCGCTGGAAAGAACGCGACCACCGCCCCCACAACACCTGCGAACCCGGCCAGCACTAAAATTACCAACAAAAACACGAACGTCACCCAGCATGCCAACAAGAACACGGGCAAAATGTTCGCACTCACTGAGGTGACTACGGCAAGCGTGCAACAAGCTCGCCAGATCCGCAAGACGGACTTCGAGCGCTTCCAGAAATTCCACAACTTCTTCATGGCTAATGAAGAACCGACTGCACGTGTGATAAACGACAAGGCTAACGCCAAGCGTGAGATAGTGGACAAGTGGATTGGTGGCGCTGTGAGCCCGAAGACGCTCGCGTGTATCCAGGAGATCCAGGAGACTCAATCGGGACTTCTGGAACTGCTCATCGTGTCAGCAGCACTCACCAAATACGGCGAGAAGGAGCTGGCTCGTAGAGACAGTCTAGGCGAGATGGACTACGTGGTAGGTGCTCGCTTCGGCACGAATGGGCTGCGCTCGAAGCAGCACGCACCACACAGTGTAGGCTTGAATTTCGTGCTGCGGTTGGTGCTCGGTCTGGCACCGGAGAAGCGTAGCTCGTGTGAAGTCTTACGTGAGATCCTGGGTCACGAGAGCAACGGACGCCTTGCATTAATCCCAACAGAAAGTGGTCTGCAGCCGTATTCTGATGCTACTGCTTCATACTCGGATGACTGGGCCGAGCTTAAGCCAGATCAGCTCCGTCAGATGGCAAGTCAGACGCAGTCCGACAAGTTCCAGGACACCATGCAGCAGCTCAGTGGTGAGCACCTGTACGATGCGATCCGTACACAGCTGAAGCAGACTGGCGGTGCGTCAGTGTGGGATGCTACTAAGGACAAGTCTGCACTCAAGGTGAAGAACATCCGTCCGCGCATGGGGTCGGCTGACAAGAATGCAAAGTCGAAAAAGGAGGCCGATCGTCAGCAGAAGCAGCCTGTGAAGATAAATGAAGCTTCCCAAGTGAAGAAACATCTTCCGGTTGAGGTTGAGAAGGTGACGCTGGTTCCTCCACCGGCCCCGGTGATCATGAAATCGACTACCGATGCAGCTACCAAGAAAGAGGGTGGAAAGAAGAAGGGGAAGAAGGGGAAGAAAGCGGACGCGGAGAAGAATGTCGCCCCTGTTAAGGACGCCACTGCGGTGAAGAACATTGCGACTACCAGCCAGAAAGCTGGTGCCATCAAGAGCAGCGCGCGTGACGGTCGGGCGGTTGTCTCCAAGGCCCTCTAGACGTGCATATTTGGTGATGCACTCATCTTTCATCTCAAGAGATTTATTAATAAACTTTTTTTAAATATAATTTGTTTTCTCGTAACGAGACCTGCACAGTATCGTACCGTATTGTAAAACCCGTGAAATCGAAAGAAAGAATCAGTGCACATTTCTCTCAGGTTTCACGAATACACTTTCATTCTTGAATTTGCATCCAGATGCATCTCTTCTCTCTGACAGCCGTAGCTTTCGTCATCGCCAGTTTATCTGTCGACGCATCAGTCGCGAAAGATCCACGAGGGCACGCTCCCAACAGGACTGAAGTCGATACCGTAAATGCGAGTTCAAGCACGAGGCTTTTGCGAAAAAATAGTACTGTTGATCTAGTCGGCGAGGAGAGAGCACCCAGCGTCGTAGAAAATATCAAGGCGTTGGTCAAGTCTTCAGCGGTGACTCCAGCGAAGCTTCAGCAATGGCTAGACGAGCGACTACCTGCGGGGCTAGTGTTCAAGAACATGAACCTTGACGAACCAAAGATCTTCTCTTTGTTGCATGAACCCAACTTTGTTAAGTGGGTCCAGTACGCCGACGACTTGAGTGCCAAGTCATCTCATAAAGAATCGTCAGTGATCTCCACCCTGACGTCATTGCACGGCGACAAAGTTGTCTACGACACAATTCAAGCTGCTAAAAAGTATCCACAGCTGAGTGAACTCGCCCTTAAATTGGAAAAGGACCAGATACGCTTCTGGATTGCCACTCGAAAAGACCCGTCGGTGTTTTTTGAAGCCCTCAACCTTAACTGGGTAGGGACATCCATCTTCTCAAAACCTGAATTCTCCGCTTGGCTCAAGTACGTGGACGATGTAAACGCAAGACATCCCAAGAAAACCCCATTTTCGATTATTCCTACGCTCAAGCAACATGTAGCTCAAAGTGACGAAGCCGACACAGACGTACTTCTTAAACTGATTGCGAACGGGAAAGCAACGGCTGAAACCAAAACTGTCGCCAACAAGGTAGATAGTGCATTGTTTGACTTCTGGCTCAGCAAGCGAGAAACACCCGACAAAGTTATGGACGCGTTCAAACATGGCAGTACAGCTCAAGCTTTCTTGGGGAGTTCACGGTGGAAAGAGTGGGAACGGTACTTGAGCGTTTACAACGCGAGATACCCTGAAAAGAAGACCACCGTGATAGAAACGTTAACGCGGAAGTACGGAGATGCACAATTACTCGACACGCTTATCACCGCGAGCTCGAAAGGTGAGACGAAAACGCTTGCAGCCAAGCTGCAGGCACAGCAGTTCGATAGGTGGATGAGCCTTAAAGAGTCTCCTCTCGACGTCTACAACAGGCTACGGCCTTCATATGGGGATAGGAGCTTCTTCGACGAGCCACAACTCAATGTGTGGGTCTCGTACATGAATGTGTTCGTCGACAAGAACCCCAGCAAGGTGGACAAAATGTTCTTGGAGTTAGGTGATACCTTTGGGAACATGCATCTCTTTCGAGTCCTCGGAGAAGCCAAAAAGTTCCCCAACATGGAAAGCACTACAGCCAAGCTGCAGATGGAGAAGGCTTCGACTCTTTTTGCCAGCGGAAAATCCCCGGAGGATATATTCAGGGTGCTAGCGCTTGACAAGGTCGGAAATGATATACTCAGCAACACGCTGTTCCACAAGTGGCTGGCATATCTGCAGAAATTCAACAAAGAGCACGAACAGCCAAGGATCGTGGTTTGACATGCTACGTATTATTTACCAAATGTTCGGTCTCGAAAGGATTATCGAGACGGGAAGAAAAAATCCAATCACAAGAGGGATGGCTGAAAAAGTGGAGGATGCGTATCACAACTACTGGTTGGATATTAAGATGGAGCCTAAGACAGCCTTCCGCTCCCTGCATCTCGACGAAAGCGGTGAGAAGCTCCTTGCCGACCCAAAATTCAACACGTGGGTGCAGTACCTGAAAACCTTCATCGACCGATATCCTAATGAGAAGACGACAGTCATCGACGGGCTCAGGGATAACTATCATGACATAGCTCTACTCCGAATGTTTTCAGCCGCGAAGAATGATCCCAGCACGGAGAAACTCGCTACTGATCTACAGAGTGCGCTAATCCTCAAGTGGCAAGATGCGAAGAAGACACCAGAAGAACTAAAGAGAGTGTTTGTTGGTGTGCCAACCTCTGGTGAAATAATCGATCGGTACGACAAGCTAATATCGGCGACGAGAGCCACCTTATAGTGTATTTGACCGAAGCGGTTATCGTGGAGAGCGAGAAGGAATCTAATGTAGCCCTTGATTTTGACTTTTTGGTAAGCTTTGAGTCGCATGAGCAGAACTGGTTCCTTCTGACTCGACGATACTACAGGAGGTGGCAGTGGTTACCGATCTCCATCTTCGATCGACGTGCCCTCCAGCCACTCGAAATATACAAGCAGAAGCGGCTATCAATTGTGATTTTCTCTGGGTGGAACCTCGTAGAAGTGCGTCCTTTAATTCTTGGGGGGGGCATAAATGCCAAGTTGTACCTGTGTTTTCATAATGGACCTTGCATATACAGTCTCCGTGTACGATTACGCGCCGTAAGCTACCAACTTCACGTAATATTTTACACTACGGCTGTGGGGGCATTCTTGATCGTCGAGCAACTCACGATAACAATTCCACGAAAGCTGGCAATTAATATCCTATGTATCATCCTTGTATGAACAATAACAGTTAGCTTTCAGAGCCATCAAACGTCAAATACTGTACGCAGGGCTATTCTGTGATGACATAAAGCTAAATCTTAATTTGAATAAATTTACATTGTGAAGTCCTCGTTAATATTCGTTTTGAGCTGCTGCCATCATATGCCGCGTATATTACCGATATAATCGAGTTACGTCTGTTGGTGCTGTAGTCGAGGCCATATTCGTACTGTGCCGCCAGTCGTGTGACTAGCAGCAGGGCTGCTCAAAATTAATCAATAGACCAAACATTACTATTTTGAAACTAATAGCACTCATAATTGTGGGTTTGCTACAATAAAAACTTTCCCTAATTGTTTTGGATTGAATTGGGATTTGAAGGGCGCTTAAAGTCGTCGTTCGTACAATCAAAAAGTGAATGTTGCTTTATTTTTTTAAATGTCAATCGTATTATACTTCATTTGCTGCTCTCTAACGAAAAAAGACATCATGTGCATATAAATTACATTCGCAATGGACTGACAGCGTTTATCTGATATTTGGCGAGCTATGAACGTGCGCAACTACAAGTAGCTGTACTAGATTACATTTCTTACACGTAAAAAAGTACCACCTTCTGCCATTAGCTGTGTAGCTTATTTTGTATTTGCCGACGTTTATAGACGCTAAAAATGGCAACCCGTTCTATAAATCGATGTACCAGCATGCGGTGCCTGATAAATTCACTCCTACTTGATTGTACAAAAGACTATACGAGCGAGGTTGGTGAAATTCCCACTCGATGATAAATTTAATTGTAGATATGCTTGATTTTCTGCTATTTGTTTAGACCTCTTGGTAAAAAAAATAAACGTGGTACATGTATTAATAATGTCACGGCCCATGATAGCCAATAGGTCGCTCATACATGTACCAAGAAAACGTACAGACTCTTAAGAGTCAGGAAGTGTTTCTGTGCATTTTTTGTAGATATGTCTGGTCAGGGCTAGGTTTAAAGAGGCAAGGATTTGGGAAGGTGAATCCGATCTTTTAAACTTAAGTTTTAATCCTGCATTTTCAGGCTAGAGGCAGGTGTAATTAGGCGCAAGTCGAAGCTAGAGTAGACCTACCATGCGTTTGTACGTATAGCTGGAATCACAAGACTCTTGGCGTTTATCGGGATTATAACTACCGTGACACCCATCCCATCGGGGACGGGAAGCAGTACGGTGTTTTTTTTTCACTCATTGACGTGACCTGGTCCTGGCCTGGCCCCGGACGATGATGTATATGAGCAAAAAAGAAGAAACAATTTATCCCAATCAACCGTAATCAATCATATGTTCAGTACGGGTACCCGAAGAAGTCCAGAATTAAGTTAAAAGGTTTTTAAATTAAAACAAGCACTTTTCAATCTGTCTTGATATCAAAGTTAAACGATTAATAAAACAAATGCTCTTATTGTAAAAAAGCTCAGTCAAATCGCTACTAGCAGAGTAGACAGCATCGTTGTCGTGCTTGGGCTGCCACATATTAACGTCTTTTCGTATATTCCGTTCTGTTTGTCCTTGGCGCTTTGAAGCCCCTCCTGTGCCTGCTTTGCAGCCGCAGCATCATCCTACTGCTTACATGGAAAAGTATACCCCTCATAGTATGAGGGGTATACTTTTTTGCGAGCAAGAGCTACATCCATCAAACATAACACCGAAACACTCGCCCATCTCCTCGGCGATGGTGTTGCCGACACGTTCAGCGACTCGTTGCATGTAGGTCTTCAGCGTCTCCGCTGAGGTAGGCTTCATGCGAACTAACTGTCTCGTTAGTGGGTTCTCAACCTCGCACAGAGGGAGATTCCGCTCGACAATCCAGCGTAGCCAGTCGTACATGTGAGTCGTCGTTTCGTCCACGAATCCAAAAACCTCGAGGGAGGTCAGGTTTCGGCGCTGAAACTCAGCATACTCTTCGCCGTGAGTGGGATGCTTCGAGTTCAGGTGAGAGATCAGGTTTGTGTAGCCTGGGCGCTGGGCTTGCTTGCGTGGCTGTTCGCAGATGTTGCACCGGTAGAGCCCAGGTTCGAGAACGGTGTAGAAGAAAGCGGCGAGTTACTGGGACGACATGATGTAAATTAAGAATGACCGTCTTCTCAAAGATTGAAAGTAAACTAGGCGCTGAAAAATGGCTGGTGGAGAGGAATGGGTGGCTGCAAGCCACTCGAACGGTAAGCCTTTATATTTGTATTATTCCGTCCGTATCACACTATATTATTATCCCGAAAAAACAATAATCCGTAGTATAATAAAAATAGGTAGTAATTGCGGTACTGATATTATTTTCTTGGAGGCCTGCTCATACATGTCTAATTAGAGATAAGGGCGAGAAAGGTCTCTACAGACGTGGTAAACACAAACCTCTCTAGTTGGTTTGACAGCGTTGCGTTAACTGCTACGAACCGTCGAAAGTGGCTGAGGTCGTTCTGAATATCGAGAGTCTTCGCCTTCAGACTATCATAACTCACTGCAAAGTCTACAGCTACGCTACTATTGTTATTATTTACTTTTATTAATACATGTATTTATAACTGTGCTGTAAAGTAGCTGTGACAATTGAATAACGAAATCCTTCATAAGCAACCGTAATCAATCATATGTTCAGCATCTGAATTTAAGAAGCTTCGTTTAAAAAAAAGGCTGGCGATACAGCCCATGTTTTTAAAAAGGGTTAGGTATCGAAACAATGGTGATCATGGATACATTTCCAGGTGCCATCCATGTTTTCTGGGAATAAATGACGAAGGTCCGGTATTTTATCTTATACATGTTTCACATGTTTTGTAACATGTCCAAACATGTTATCAGTACGACGTAAAAAAGTAAGAGTGAAGAGGATTCTGTGTTGTCGGCGACACCTCACCCCCACATTCGTCATGGGTTGAAACTACCTTACGTAATGTATCCATCTCAGGTGTCTGATACTAAAACATGTCAAGCATGGAAAACATGGTACGTAAACATGTATTGCAAAACTTAGCATCGAATTACTCTGCGTTTTTGCTGGAGTCACTAAAGTCCACCACACTGCGAAGGAGATCCCACCGCTGGCGTAGACAACCCGTCTTCGAATAATCTCTGGGTGCCTCCTTGTACACGCGGCGCCAGAAAAACAGGCATACGAACAGACCGCAGTTGTCACCGTCGTTCTGGATGGGGTTGTGCACAGCTATTATCTCGTACGGCTCCGTCATGCTCCGGACCACGAGCTCTTGCGCCAACTCTTCCAGCAAGTTATGATAGGCGCGTTTGTCGAGACTGTCGTAGCAGTAAATGGTTTTTTGAAGCTGGTTCACAGCGAGGCATGTCCAATGACTGGCATTGACGTTCAGCGGCATGAACACCCATTCCATGTTCGTAGCTGCTACAAGACTTAACGTCAGTGGTGGGATTCGATGGCCCTTATCTTTTGCCGGTGTTTTAAGCTGCGGTAGGAAAATTGTAGTGCTGGCACCGTAAATGGCCGACAGCGTCGCCGAGAAGGCTTGAATTAAATTGTCGTTGAACCAGCAGCCATCTCGAGCACAGTACAAATGCGTCCAGTCCAAGTGAAAGCCCTGGTCGAATCCCGGAAGGCGCTGACCAGGCCATGTTTCAATCATTCGTTTAGCCAACAAAGCGGCTTGGTCATTGTCAAAGAGTATGTCCACCTTACCCATCAGCCATGAGTAGCATTTTAAGCCGTTCGCGCATGCTGCAGAGAAGCTCCACAAAAATTGCATCGCCATCAGCTGGCGTTGTGTAAACACACCCACACCATCTATGTCTGCTACCCAGCATTCTACGCTTGCGTCCATCGGCGTACTGAGATCCATAACTTCACCGTAGGGTGTCCTGCGTTCAATATCTGCTAGCGCTTTCTGTACCATAGCCTCGGGAAGACGGTACGGCACGCTATCTTCAGGAGGGGTTCGCTTCGTGACTGTGATGTTTCTCTCCTTGCGCCCGAAGTGTCGCGTCTCAAAAGTGTTCAAATACGAGCTTAGCTCCATCAGAGACGGCTGACTGCTCTTCAGGAACTCCTCGACATGCACTACGTCGTCTGCTCGCAACGCATTCCGTAACTTTGCCCCCTTGTTGTATTCCTTCCTGTCGGCGTTTCGCTGAGCGTCTTGTGCAGCTCGATTCTTTCGAGGACGGCCCAGTTTTGGCGCTCGTGGATTAAATTGGTTGATTTTAGGCGTGGCTTTTCTTGCTGCTTTCTTCGCGCGTTTCTGTAAGTTCACTTCAGGCTTAGGATCCGCTGACATCGAATCGGCAGTTATTCCTTGGGTCTCGGCAACATGAACACTACTGCCCTTCCCTTCATTGTGAGATTCCGGTTCGGATACAGCGACTTGAGTTGGGAGGAGCTCAGAATCAGATGTACCGGACTGCGTGAGAGGTAGAGCTACGTTTCCTTGTCGCAAATTATCACACCAGCTCTCTAGATGGTCCAGCGCGGCAGTGAACTTAGCGTCAGGTAGGCCAGTGAGCTCCGACGTGAGACGACTGAAGACACTCTGAACGCATTTGTACTTGTTGCGCTCTGTCATCTGTTTCTTGTGAGCGACGTGGTCCCCTTCTGCGTGAATCTGTAGAGGTACATCAATAGAGGGTAGATCACAGTCCACGGTTCCTACTCGAAGCCATCTACATCATATAAACATTGGATAAACATGATACAACCATGGTTATTAAATTCTTGAAAAACATGGTTAACATGGTGTTAAACATGGCAAGTACCTGGCCGGAATTGAAGCGTACGGAATTGTGAGTAGTGCGGCATGATGTTTTCGATAGATCATCCCATGTCGACAAGGTAGCTTCATCGTAGACGAGAACTCGCAAGTACACCTCCAATCGAACTTGTCCACGCGGTGGGACCGATCATCGCGAGTCAGTGTGACGTACAGCGGCTGGTCGTCAATAGTATAACTGCGTTGATTATCGGAGTCAACGGCAAAGTTGTACTCCGTCAAAAACACACCAGCTAACCACTCGCTTGTCATTCCAAGAAGCTGGTTCATTTCTTCTCCGTAGTTTATATTGCGCTGGGTGCCAGGCTTACTTACACGCGCCATGTACTCGTCTTCGCGGCGCCGTTGGTACGAAATCACAGCCTCGAGACACTGCTTCATGTTCATCGAGCTGTCCAGATCGACCTTCAGTTTACCAAAGAAATTCTCCAGTCGGTTATTCGTATTGTTGCGGAAATGGGGAAGATCCATCCGATGCGTCATGACCCACATCTCGACGCACGACATCCAATTAGTCTCGAAGTACTCCCACAGAGCGGTTTGACCATCTCGGCAAGCTAGAGTCTTGAATTCTTCTGCATTATTCTTTAGGTCCTCCTCCGTCCTTGCGTATACCATGTTCGCCACACAGAAATCCAACTGCTGCAATAAAGCGCTCGGGTACGTTCCGTACTTTTTGTCAAGTCGAATAGCGCCACGTAGCCACTTGATCACGTGAAAATGGCACAACAAAATTCGCGCCGTAGGAAACATCTCTTTCAGAACGGCAATCTCATTCAGGTCCTTGTCGACCATGATTACTAGAGTCTCGTCCCAATCGTTCACAGCTTGGAAATGTTCGATCAGCTTGAGCATATGCCAGTCAGTATTGCGCTCGATCACAGAGTGCTGAACAGCTTGTCCGTTTCCAAACTGGTCCATGACCATAAATGTACACAGCTGGTAGTTGTATCTACATAAAATACACATTTCACAGTTAATACATGGCCAGAATAGGGTAACATGTATCCACCATGCATTCAAACATGATAAATACCTGGTCCAAACATGGTCAAACATGGTTGGGTGTCGTACCGGTTGGTCTTGTGCGTACAGTCAACTAGAAGCAGCTCTGGAAAGCGTTTGTACAGCTTGCGCATGTGCTGCGAGCAGATAGAGACCACGGCCGTGTGCCCCCGACAATTTACTTCTACATTCGTCACGTTGCTCCCTGCCGCCATGCCAAACTGTAACAGCAATTCTGCTACTTGGTCTTCGTCGGATAGCGTGCTGCCTACAAAACCGATTGTTAGCCACGCTCGAATACAAAGTCCACATTGAAATACTACGCACCCGACTTCTTTATCTTGGCAACAAGGTTGTACACGTCCTGCATTTGCATACGGTGTGGCGAATTGGTACGGATGTAATCGTACAAGCGGCTGGATTTGCTGCCGCTGGCAACCATAAGCTCCACATCACGCATAACGGGCGAGCTTGCAGGTAGTTGGCGGACCTTCGGATACGACTGGTATATATCCTCGGATACAGGGTGGTTGTGTCCGTAGAATGCCAGCTTCACTTGGACTCTCCACTCCTTGTCTGCTTTCTTCACCACTTGCGCCACAAACCGTACTTTGCACTCCGTTGCGTTCACGCTATGCGAAGGGCGCACGCCTTTCGAACGCACGCAATTCTTGTGAAATGGTGTCAAAGATGGGACGTACTCGAGCTCCACGTTGCTCTCCATTAGTGTCCTCTTTCGCGATCGCGTACTTGTGCTTGTTCCAGAAGTATCACTCTCTTCTTCATTAAGTGTGTCACCAGCCGCGCCTTCCACATCATCTGATGAACGCAGTGATTCTTCAGATTGCGCAGCATCACCGTGACGTGCTGTTTCCAGATCAGCAACGGTGTATTCGTCAAGCGCGTCCGTGGCTTGAGCTGCTTGTATGCCGTTATTGATAACACTTGAACTTACGCCCACGTCACTCTGCACGGACGAACCAGAGTCCGCCTCGGCGTCGTCGCTGCTGCTGCTGCAGGAAACTGCCATGGCTCGAAGTATACTTGCAGTCTTGCTCGTACGGACCATTGTTCTAGCAGACACCAAGCATATTCACAGCAAACATTGTAAGGTCATGGGATAAACACGGGAAACATGGAGTCCATGTTTTCTTCAATGCATGTACACATACGTGATCGCTTCAGTGTATGCAGCACAACCTGCCCTCGTTGTCCACGTGCTTGCGGCGCGTGTCTTGTTCCGTAACCTCACACGTGTTACTGTTAGATCCACGCAATAATAGTTAGCTTCCATAGCATTCGACGTACACGCATGACACACGACGTACCAGTATAGCACGGGAGGAGGGGGGGGGCGTGTTCTGGGAGAGTGGGGGGGGGCGTGTTCTGGGAGAGTGGCTGAGGTTTGAAGCCCCGGGGCTTCTGAGAAAATGCGGGTCTGGTGCACATACAGCAATAATAGCATTGAAAACGGCAAGCAGCGTTAGACATCGTTGACCACGAGACGCGATAAGTACATGCGTCTGCGGGGAGACACTACCTGAAGTTCGGCAGGCTGGGCAGCCTGGCAGGGGCAACAGAGCTTCGCTAGCGGCGGTGGGAGGTGCGTCACGTGGCAGAATGAGTGGCTGTGCGATTCGTAATTTACCGAGTGGATTTTTTTAAATTACAAACATGGTCACACATGGATACATAACAGTTTTAAACATGGTGATAAAAACATGGGCTCTACATTTTCCGCTGAGCTGGTCTCATGTCAATAAATCGCAGTTTTACCGGTACCACGTCTCATCGTGCCTCGCCACCTAACAGACCTGCCAGTTCTGGCACTTTCCTCTCCTCGTGCATGACCAGCTGATCTTTCTGTTGCCAAAACATCGCAGCTAATGCGCAGACCATCATGGCAGGCACGCGTATCCAGCTTAGATCGAAGTTGGTACCAGGAGGGGGAATTCTCGATTCGTAGATGTCGAGATGATGACTGCCGTCAGCTTTTGAACCCAGCACAGCAAAGCCAATTGAGTGTGCTATCAGATCCTTGGCAACACTAATGCTCAGTATCTGCGTTAATCCCCTTTCCAACTCGAACGAGTCTTCCATCGCGTTTTCCGATAGATATGTTGGCTTTCTCTCCTCGCTACTTCCAGACAGTTGGTACAGCGCCAAATGGGGACCAGTCCCCAATACGAGAAACCCGGGCAGTGTCTGCACAAAGGCTGGCAAATTGGAAGGGAAACGTGTTTGGCGAGGCATCAACTGGTTTACTAAAGCGCACACTACTGGCCCACGAGCTTCTGTCTCACTTATATCAGGTCGCTGTCTCCAGGCTCCCAGGTTGTGTAATTTGTATACCAATGCGCGCCCAGTTGAAGTTCCGGCATATATGATGGTCGGTCGCAGTGGATCCGCTGCAATGCTCGAGAGCGTGTGCCATCCAGGAGCCTCGCACACTACTGGGGCTGACTGAGGTGCTGCAGTGTCGACGATATATACTCGGTGTTGCGTTGCTAGCGCCGCTAATCCTCTACTACTTTGAATAGGTTCAAGCTGCACAACATTACTATCATGAGCAGTGACCTGTGTGTGGATATCCTCAATGAAGCTACCGTTCTCGCCATGGTAAAACGAGAGATGCCGGCCGTAGCTGTCCACTGCGACCACAAACACACGATAATACAATGACACAACTGTCACTTTACCTCGACCATATTGCCACTCCTGGTTGAGAGCAGCTCCGAAGACACGCTCGACATCGACGTGAAGATAGTTCCCAGGGGCTGTCATAGTTGGCGTTGATAGCTGCACCCATGGCGGTTGTGATGCATCTACATGAAGTTCGTGGAGACTGTCTTCACCTGCTGGGCATTGGAGATGCTTCTCATCTAGCTCTCTCAGGGGCTTCAGTCGTCGATAATCACCCGCCACAAGGCGACGGTTAAGCCAAAGCCGTAACTTGAAGAGCACAAGATCGCCGGACGTCGAGAGAATAGCTAGATGCGCACTGCGGTCGGAAACAAAGTACATATCAGCTGCATGGAACACGTGTTTGTGTCCTGATGATCGCAGATCTAGTGAGTGTTGCCACATGAGCTTAAATGTGGTCGGGTGGAAGAGCCTCATGATTGTTGAGTCCCTATCCAGTGCTAATAAGAGCTGCAGCGGTGGTTCATCGTCGGTATTTGTCTTTCGCCTTCTCCCCGCTGGCGGCGTATTTGGTCGAAAGGAGACCAACTGCGTCAATTCCAGCTTACTAAACTGCTTGAACGTGCCTTGACGTTCGAACCAATCGCCGAAAAGTTGTTTAGACTCGCGAGGCCTCGGACGGCGTTGCTGCTTATCAGTAAACATCGAGCCAACTTCAGTGTAGTTTATTATCTTGTACCTGTTTTCTATCCGTTTAATGGTGTTGTTGAGGAGTCCCGCTTTCTGTTGATAAAGCTCCAACTGCCGCTTGGTCGCGTCAATTTCAACGTCCAAAACGTGATACAGCGCTTCGGAGTCCTCAGCGTCACTATCATCCCACGACAATCCGTCTATTGGCAAGCAATACACGGAGAGGAACAGTAGAGCAAGAGCGAAGTGGTGCATGCTCCGTGAGACCTTGGCGTCGCTTCACGTGATCAGATTATCTAGATGGCTACATTTCTATCTCAACCAATCATCTCATGATCCGATGGTTTAAACACAACGATTGGCCAAAACTTGATGCAAAATAGCTGGGAATGGCCAGCATCTACTCGATCTGTCGTTGTCCCCCTACTGCTCTGCTTCTCTCGTCCATCGCGTAAGTCCAATCGCATTCTGCGTTGGCTCGTGGACAATAGGAGAACCGTGGCAGCTGACAGTGGGAAAGACACACAGAAAGAGAGCAGGGAGAGAACTTGGACGCTAATTAGTGCAGTTTATTAAACTTACTAAGGAGGGGCGCAGTCCAGTTATTGAGTTTCTGGACTGCTAGGCACATTCTACCTACGTCCCGTTTAATACAACGAGTGCACAAGGCTCAAAATTTAGTGAGCTCTGTGTGGTTAGTTAAGGTGTCTCGAGAGAGATGGCTCACATCGAGACCAAGGACCCGTTCGGCTTTGTGGGCTCGCACGTAGTTCGGAAACAGCCACGAAAGGGTGGAGAGGAGCATGGGTGGCTCACACGGTACGACGAGGGGCTCGACTGCTATACTTTGTTCGTGCCAGGAGGAGGAGAACCTAGATTGTTGGCTCGAGGAGAAGTGATGAAGTTCCTGTCGGCGCCCAATATCGAGCTCCACGATGACGACCAGGAAGAGTTTCCCCCACCTGTGAAAGATACCAGTACAAGTCGGTATTTGGGTGTGAAGTTACGTCGACCTCGGGAAGCTTCAAGTGACAATGAAAGCCACGTAGATGAAGACATACGGGGTCATGTTACATGTTTCTTGCCGTTTGGTGATCGATACTGTGTCGAGTATGAGGACGGCTCAATCGAAGAAATGTCCGAGGCTGCTGTAATTGACGGCATAATTGCTCTGATCAAGTCTCCATTCTTCTCGTCTCCTAGTCATAAAAAGATACAGAATGGATCTGTCAGGACAAGGAGAAGTATTGAAGAATTGGACGGAGAAGATACAGCACATATTCGACGGAAGCGACAGCGGGTTGAAGCACCGACCGATGAAAATGTCCAGGATATCCCGTCCGGGTCTGATGCTGTGGTTGGGAATGTGTCCGACCAGCAACAGGATAATGATATCATTTTAGTTGATGACGCGGAGATGGAAGCTGGTACATTTACCGAGACGGAACCGGCTCCTAACATTTTAGAGATTATGAGTAGCACTTTGGGCAATACTACGCGAGAAAACTCGCTAGAACTGGCCAGTCATCCAGTGGAAGAACCCATTATAGTCGACGAAGACGAAGTGCCCGGCCAGGATGATACTGTGGTGGAAGTTTTAGAGAATCCTGAAGGACCCACAAGCGGGGAGAATGCAGCGGATACGGTGCCAACTGATGCAGCGGCAGCGAAGAGCAAGAAGGATGCCCCGTTCTACATCATCGAAAAGAAGCCACACGCGGCAATAGAGCCACTTCCAAGACGCGCAATGGCATTTGAGCTTCTCCGAGCGTCGCTGCTGAATCTGCTGGATCAACGTGAGGCTACTGTCGTCAAGATAGCCATGCAGTACGACTTACTACGCAACCCTGACGTGCGAGACCGTGACGCTGTGATCCGCTTTATGGACGCTGACGGATTACTTGTTCTTAATCATCTGTTGAACTCATTTGCGACTGAAGTTCTTGACGACGAGGAAGAGAGCGAAGAGGATACCATGGAAAAGATTCGCGAGCGCATGGAACGAGATGATAAACTTCTTCACGTCATGAAGATTGTCGCGATGCTCCCAACTCCGTCTAGAGACCAGGTGATCGCTTCCAACATAGGCAAGACCATTAATTATCTGACCAAGAAACGCGGCCCACCAGGACGCAAAAGTGTCCTTCCCAAGTGCATCACGGGTCTAGCGAAATGGATCAAGAGTTCGTGGATCAAGAACATTTCACCAGCTCCGAAGGTGTCGCCCAAGGCGGCTTCCAAGCCTCGACAGCCAGCGAATCGGCGGCAGCAACAAGCTCGACGTGGCGGACGTGGTAGATCTTCTGGACGTTCAAGTCACCAGTTGAACAGACGGCAGCCGCCGCCATCGCAGCGACCGCAGCGTCAGATCTCGTCGATTTTAAGGACCCCACCAGAAGAGCAGCACTTCCCTGTAGACAACACGCCGATCCCTAGACTATCACGTCCACCGTCACAACATCCGGTAGCTGCTCCAGCTCCTGCTCCACCGCAGCCCCCAGCCCCACGTCGTGTCACTGGCGGACTCAAGCCCGATTGGATGAGGCAAAAGGAGAGTCTTTCGCGCTCTCGCTTCTGCATTGATGACAACGCGGTCGTTGACACGAGACTTTATCGAGACAATCGAGCGCGTCCTATTACGAATGTGCCTGTGGTGGCCACGCCTTGTCAAGCATCGACACAGCAGGATCGAAACCCCGACCAACGAGAAGACGCTGGCGGTCCTGATGGAGTTTTTGGACGAGCTCAAAGACTTCGCTTCGGTAAGCGATGGAATACTCGGGAGTTCGGGATAAAGGACCCTCCTGGCACACTGAGGCAGCCACAGAGGTCGTACTCGATGCCCTCTTACGGCCGCTCGCAGTATTCGGACCAGAATGAATCTGTCTATGTGCCTCCTGTGCCGAATTCTTCTCGTCAGCCTCGTTCCATTCTGCGGCGTGTCAGTCGATATAATGATGAGCCTGCGATTGACGCCGGAAGCTGATTACGAACGATCGAGATCATAGCCAGTGGCTTGGAGCATTTTTGCAGATCAGAGTGGACAAGATCTGCGAAATGAAAAAAGAAAAGAAAAAAGGAGCCATGTGAAGCAACATCACGCTTTTTTGCAGAAACTTATTCTTTGACCTCGCACAACTAACTTTAAATCATTGACTACCGTAGATACTCGGCCTTCTCCGTCGGTCTCTAATTGTCCATGACTCGCGCAGATAAGCAATGAGGTCCTGTAACAAGATTGCACACGATAACGGCGTTAGAGAACAATTAGCAACATCAAGTGAAATGTGAAAAATGTGCACCTTGATGAAATCTTGTCGAAGACCAGCAGGGATGTTCAAGTGTTGAACATACTCAGACAGAGAGCTCTCGATCTTCTCAAGTTTCGTTATGCGTGCTTTCCATATCTCGCTAAGGTCCGTGCGGCGCTCGAAGTCACGGTAATAATCCACCAAAGTAATCACTTGTTCGGCACATCCGCTCACACCAGGACCATACTTGGTCCGCAACGCAGTCAGGTAACTCTGCTCATCATGGAAATCACCTTGCTTGGATTCACACGTCGCCAGAGCAAGCTCGGACGCAGGTGTCGGTGTTTCAGGAGAACGAGGTTTCAGTTGGGCTTCGCGTGGGTTAATCACTCGCGAAGATTTCAATAGTTCCAAGTGACCCGCCATTCTGTGCAAGGATGTCTGGATATCTTCGCACTCCCTGTGGCTTCCGAATAGTTGTGATTCGACATGGACGCTAGCACTTTGCTTCCTTCCAGAGTCCTTGCTCTCTGAACTTCGTCTCTTTTGAACGTCCACGGCAGAATTGGATGCCAAGCTTTTAGCACCCACTTTAACCTTTGCAACACCATTCACCGGTACCTTGCCTGTAGAGTTGCCGGAAGAGCCATCCGCCACTGCAGGGGCAGTGGAAGCAGTCACATCTGAAGCCATCTTCTTCACCACCCGCTCCACTAAGGACGTCACAAAGCTTCGGACGTCCTTGCTTACTTGGGCATCATGTATTGTTGTCTTGTCCACCTTGTCTTCAGCACATTCTTTGGCATCCTGGTTACTTGTACACTTATCCCTCTTCATGCTATTGTCAGGCTTGGCTTCAGAAGCGCTGTCAATGCCCTGGCATGTAGTGGTCATGCTCATGTTCTCGCCAACAACATAGTAATGCACATCTTCAGCCAAAATATTGTCGGGCTTTGGAGGATCAGAGCGAGTTGGCGGCGGCGTGACTTCTTCATGGCTACTCCCGTTTGAAAAACAGGGCCCTTGTGCATGAAATGCATGATAAAAAGTCTGCTTGTGCGGACTTGGAGATCGAGCAGGCGATGGTCCTTCGCTTGCTGGTGAAGCCGAGCGATTGCTGTTTTTTGTTGTTTTCTGCGGTTTCCGCGTCCTTTTCCGACCCGACGTCGCGTTGATTGGTGACGGCGATATCCCGATTCGTACTGCTGACGGCGATGGAGCTGGCAAAGGCGGCATAGCGCTGGTATGAATAGGAGCACGCGTTGCGTCCACTTCAGTCTTAACTGCCAGTCGCTTCGCTGCACCACTCGTGCTGCTGCCAGTCACACTCTGCGCTGATAATGCATCTGTCTTTTGGTCAGCACTATCATCAGCGCGCGGTCGTTTCTCCTCATCCACACCTGAGTCTGGGTTTATCCGCTCGGATTTCTCGACTTTCCTGGCCCTTTTTTCACTATCGTTGACTATTTCAGTAGTCATAACGACGTCTGCGAGAACTTCAACAACTTGCGGCTCAATTTCAGAAATGCCAGACATCATCTTTTCCGCAGAAATAGCACTGCTACGTGCGCTATCTCCCGCACCACTAGAAGACTCCACAATACTTTCCATCTCTACATCTGGAACAACCTCCCCATTCGACGTGCTCTCTTCCTTCTTTGTGGTCGTGTCCGCACTTTCATTGTGACCAGCATCATCTGTCACCTTTGGTGTCGATAATTCCTTCTCTGAAGCTGGCAGGGCTTGCTTCTCACCATCGTCGATGTGGCTTATTGCAGAAGAAGATTGCGAAGTACGTTTGCTCCTCGCCTTTGTCTTCTTAGCTGGTTTGTTCCCTGTATCATCTGAGCTCTGTTTACGTTTCCGGACAGAACCCTGCGCTTTCACTCTTGCAAGCGACAGCCTGGATGCCGTTCTTTGACCAGGCGAGGCTTTCACGTCCGTGGGCAGCTGTGGCTTGATAGATGCCAGCGTGAGTTTAAAGTGATCGAGAATTGAGCGGTACATGGGGAAGAATCGAGTCTTTTCACGCTCCTCATCTCGCAACACGCTTCGGAAATGGCGTCGACCGGGAAGAAGCTCGTAGGGCATATAAATCTCGCGAAGTGCACCTCCACTTACCTTTTCACCCCGTGTGTGGAAGTAGCGGAAGAGACTCACTGGCGTACTCCGACGAGTATCGTACGTTCCAACAATTAGGCCCACAAACGGCTCCAAGGTTTCCTTACTGGCATTTGGACGTTGGAATAGTTGTTGATAGCTTGTCTGGTTCTCAATGTCTCGCACCGATGGATCCGGTGCAAAAGCCGGATGCGAATGGTACCATCCCACGACCTCCAGTTGTGCGTTCTCAATGATGCCACGAAGTTCAATCTCACTGCCTGGATCCATCTCCACATCCGTCGATCCGTCGTCACCTTCAATTTCCAAAGAGCGACACGGAAACGCTGCCTGGATATACAACGTCTTAGACGCTTCGTCCCATTTACCACCCAGGAATCCGATGATTTCGCAAGTAGCAAGGTGAGCGTGAAGGTCTGCTACGAACACTGCGTCTGGATGAACCACTACTTGGAACGGCGGGTCTAGAGTCGGTCCACCGCGGCTGCGACTATTTGGATCTTCAACATAATCCTTTGGCCGGTAGGCAGCACACTGCACCATTGTATGCGGATCCAGATTGCCAGTCATCAGATTTTGCCGAATTTGAGATTGTTGAACTGATCGTGCCTGGCGTTTACCTAGGGAGCGGTCACGTCCTGGTCCAATGTGAGCAGCACTTTCTTCGGCCTGTAACCGTTCACGCGCAGCGTGCTCCTTCTCAGCGATACTTGGTTCATCCGTAAACACGCTATCATCCCACACGAAATCTTGCTTGTACGCCAGCTGTGTATGTGCGTCCGACCCATTTTTTGAGCCACGTGACACCCCCGTCGTCCAGATACTCGACAACGGCGTTAGAACTCGACTGCTAGGCGCGTCCTTGTCTGTAAAATTGGCGACTTCTTCAGGCACCTGATTATCTGCGACCGATTCCTCCTCTTTCACCTCCTCATCCTCCAGCACCAGCACTTTTGCATGGCCATTCGCCTTTCTCTTCTTGAGTCTCGGTATTTTATCGGATATTTTGCTGTTCTTCTTCTTCTCGCTCTCGGGAGTTTCTGTCAGATCAATTGGGGACGGTGATCGCGACACAACTGCAGCCTGTGTATCGCTAGAAACCTCCTTTCGAGACGCCTTTCGAGCTCGTGACTTGGAATCTTTAGCTGGCGCTTTCCGTCGAGGCTTTACTGGTGTATAGCTCTCATCAAGGTTGATTTTCATCACGCCCTTCGCTTTCCTGTCTGTTGTGTTCCTACTACTCGCTTTTCTCGCCGGATTCTTCTCTCTTGCCGCCATATCCTCCTTCACACTAAATGCTGCGTCATCTGCACTCTCGCGGTCGTCCCAGGCGTCGTCCAGCGATTCATCTCCCCGCACCTCCTCGTACGACTCCATCTCGTCCATACGTTGCTTCTTCTCGGCCTGACTCGGCTCCTCCAGCAGCACCAGATCATCTTCCACGTAATTTTTACCCTACATCAACAGTCAGCACATTTGTTACTCTGCACGAACCATCATTCATCCGCTAAAGGATGTAGTACCCACCATGTGCAGCAGCTGCGTCGCCTTGGCGAGTGCACGCTTAAACTCGCCCTTCTTCTTCGACCACTTGCCGCTCTTACTACCCATCACCGCGTGCACGTACATCTGGTAGTGTGCTGTGAAGCTCGCCACGTTGCTCGGATCGATCTCTACGAGCGAGAAGTTGAACTTGTCCAGGAACATGACGAGGCAGTGGCGCTTTGTGCGGAACTCGCCCGTCTCTTCGCCGGTGGTCGCGTCCAGAACTGGCACCTTCTGTGGAGGAGGAACCACTAGTGATGCCATGATCTTAGGGTCCGTGCGGATACCGGCACGCCGTACAACATCCCACGAGAGGAAGAGCACACCTGGCCACCACGGAAAGCCATGTATCTTGGCCCACACCACATCAAAGTCTCGGAACTTCTCCTCCACAAGCGCCAGAGCCTCGTGTCGCGCCTTTAGCGCCTCCTGGCCGGATGCATCCAGCCGAGAGCTTGGTGGCTTCTTCGCACCCGGAGCCACCATTTTGGCCACGAGATTGGCTAGTGAGCGCATCACGTGTGTAGCGAACATAACATTTGTGGTGCACATGGTTTCGTACTTAGATTGGAAAAGAGGCGCGAAGAAAGTGTTTTAGTGGAGACTTAATTAAGATGGACACAGCGGCTAAAGCGTTTGAGCAGCACGTGGCGCTGGACGAGGGCGTGTTGGCCACGTCAGCGCCACTGGAGATCGGACAGCTTGACTGCGTCATCCTGCAAGTGCGTTCCCTGTTTTGCTTCCGGATGGTGGATTGAGAGGTTGATAATTATGCCAACGTTTTTTTTTCTTCAGGTGAGCGAGGGTCTTGCGGGATATCCGGACCTGAGTCAGAAGACGTACGAGCTGCGCACGCAATTGGTGGAGGAGAAGTGAGTAGTAGAAGGTTTTAGTTGGCCTAGAGGGGGAGACTGATGGATGTTATAGAGCGATTGGCGCAGCAGGAGCCATTGAAGGGGTATTGGAGCTGCTGAAGGCCAACGAGAAGGCGCTCGAGTACTTCAAGGGAAGCATCGTTGGAGGTTTGTATGGAGTTGGTCCATTTATAGGGGACAGAAGACTAATACGCTTGTTATTGTAGTGCTGACGGGTCAACCGCTGCCGTTGCGTCCTCCCTTCTTTGGCGGTACGATCCCTGAACCTGCTGCAGAGGCGGTAGTGGCGGAGGTGGAAGCTGTGGCGGCAGAGGCAGCGCCTAAGGGAGAAGCGAAGACGTCGACTAAGTCCACTGCCGCTTCAGAAGAGAAATTGGCGCCGATCTTTGCCAACCAACAGGGCTCTGCACGCAAACGCTCGTTGGAGAAGACAACAACGACAGTACAAGGAGCAGAAGGCAAGCGACCGAAGGCGGAGGAGAGCGAAAAGAACAAAAAGGACATCGCGTCGCCTCCCCTAAGAGCAGCATTGGCTGAGGAGACCAAGTATGAGTCGGAGGAAGTCAAGATCCGAGCCATGAACCCAACGTACACGATCCCAACGCAGTGGGAGCACTTGTACTTCAAGCAGGTGGAAGTAATCAACATAAGCAACCGCCTCGCTAAGGAAAGGATCCAGGCCAAGCGCTTTGCAGGCGAACCATTCTTGCTGGAAGGTCACACTGGCTGGCTGAAATTTGCGGACGGTTGGATTAAGCCGGATGGGACGCTGGACGCGGCGGCATTTCTAAGCGGCATTCACGACGTGAAGGTTCCTGTTCTAGAGCGCAATTACGAGGAGCGGAACCCCATCAAGACGCACTTGCCGCTGAGTTACTACGTCAAGAACTACTGGGAGCACGGCAAGTCTGATTACTATCTGCACCAATGGCAATTCCCGCTGGACCCGAAAGCTGGTCCACTGTTGTGCTACAAGAGCGAGGAGCTGCCTGTGCTGGGAGACAATTTGCTGTTGTATTGGCTGGATGCTGTGCGTGGCGACAACCCTCTGCAGTATCTTTTCATGGGCCAGAAGAGCACAAGAAGTCGCATGCACTTGGACCCAGGAGGCCTGGGCATCACCATCGCCCCAGTTATCGGAACTAAGCGCGTCACGATGCTGCACCGTGAGGCAGCCAAACTGGACTCTGTCCACGAGTCTGTCAACTTCCATGACGTGGATCTGGATCAGATTCCCCAACTTGCGTTCCTGCCAGCGTGGCGTGTAGACGTCAAACCAGGCCAGATCCTGTACATGCCTGAAGGGACACTGCACGCGTGTGAAAACGTCACCGCGTGTCTGTCCTACCATCGCTTCCACGTGGACACTGTGAACCTCCCAGGCTTCTTACGGTCGTTTTTGGCGCAGGACTCTCCAACGATCAACCACGCCGAGATCCTCTGGAACGCTGCGCACGATGTCATGTCTGCGATGGAGGATATCTACCATGCCAACAACCAGGTCCTCGGGAATGAGGTCGTCACGCTGCGCAAGCTAGATACGCTGCGAGGGTTGCGTCATGCTTGCCGCATGCTGTCGCTGGAGCAGGTTTTACCCACTGAAGACTCGTGGGACTGGAAGAAACTGCTCGACGACATCGACCACTTGTTGGTGCGGATTGATTCCAGCGCCAAGTTGAACAAGAAGAAGAATTCTACCCATGAATCGACTCTGACCAAGGCGATGGCTGCGCTAAACGGCGAGGAAGCGGCTGAAGCCAAGCAGATAATTGAAGCAGCGGCCAACAAGAAGAAGCTGGCAGTCAAGACCAAGGCGCAGACAACGGCTGCGAACACTCACTGGGACTCTCTGAAGCTTAAGGTGGGCGATATCATTGGTGTGCAGGTCTTCGAGAAGCGCAACCGGGCAGAAGTGCTGAAGGTGGTGCACGACAAGGTGCTCGTGCAGATCCACTACTCAGACTGGGAGTCGATTTACGACGAGTTCCTGCCGGTGTCGTCTCTCTACCAGCGCAAAAAGGGCAAAAAGGTGGCGCTTAAGAAGACACCAGAGGTGCATGAGACGGTGATGGCGCGCTGGGGCAGCAAGGGCGATGTGTACAACGCCATCGTGCTCAAGGTCATTCGCACCAACGCGTGCTACGTGCACTACCTCAAGTACGAAAAGGACTGGGACCAGTGGATCCTGCCTGGCCACATCTTCCGTAAGTACAACAAGGCCTAGAAGGCTCAGCCAGTCAGCGGAGCGAAAGGGGTCGAATCTGTCTTTCGTGTTCATTTTGACTTTGTGTTCATGAATTCGGGTCCACTGTGGTGGTCATTGCTGTTTTATTTTTTTATCTTTACACAAGATTTTTTTTAGATATAAGTCGTCAATTTCTTTGGATGCGATGAATAAGGCGAGTGGCGTGCACGAGACCGCACAAGACGACGTAGCTGCCCACGAAGGCGTAAAAGCCAAACACCGAGATCACAGCCACGATCAGCACGATGGCTCCGTAGCCCAACGTGCGCTGCAACCAACGACCCCATGCAGATGAAGCGCCAACGAAGGGCAAGTCGTAGCACGCGTAGTGACTTGCATCCCACCTGCTCTCACAGACCCAGCAATACTCGTAGCGACAGTGGGTACACGTCATGTGATTGCAGCCTTCGTTCTTCCAGATGCGCATCTGACAGTGTGGACACGCTCGCACCGCCTTGTGCTTGCCCACCGACGCCTCCCAGGCCAGATACGACTTATCCTGAGCACCACGACAGAACCAAAACCGATGTGCATATCCGCGACAACGGAAACATCCCACTGTATCGCACTTTGGGCACGTGAAATTGTCCGTGCTCTCACAGATAATGAGCTCGTCGCAGCCTGGTCTTGGACACCACCTCGCACTCGGATTCTTCTCGTCCTGTCACAATTCAAGATTTATCACCGGGTGCACTTCATATTCGCAACTTTCCAGCTGGAACGTACTCGCTTGCGCTTCAGTATTGCTCGGTACAGTGTCGTCTCGTCCTTCCCGATAATGCGTTCCATGTCCTCCTCCTTGATGCTCTGTTTGCACTCCACTACTGGGCATACCAATTCATCTGTAGCATGCATATTCTCTATTATCATGAAGACCTCTGTAAACTGCAGCCTGCATTGCATGCACCTTCGTCCACTTGGCGCCCTTTGATCTTCATCTGAATATACCTCCGAACGCACTCTGCATTGACAGTGAGCACACACACACGTTCGATATTGAAGGAGACTGGCCCCTACCAGCACAAAAACGGTGGCGACAGCGCAGCTTTGCATGAGCCTCATCGTCTTCGCTCTCCACGTCGCGCAGCGCCAGTATCGGGACGACATCCAGGCAGATCGGACACGTATCGGGTGCTACGAATGTGGCAACCAGGCGCCGGTACCCGCGCACGAAGATGCGCAACATTGTCATATTTTTTCAGTTCGCAAATCTGATAATGTCTGATCCGGATGGTTGTCAAAAAGTGAGCCAGGAAAGAAGAAGACCCAACTGTGACGATGGCTTCGTGGGTGCCATGGACGCTGATGCTGGCGCTGCTACCGACAAGCGCGACGGAGTTGCTGAAGGACGAGGCTGAGCGTCAACGTCTGCGCGACGAGCTCACGCGTATGGCTAAGAATTACTTCAAGCTGCTGCTGCTCTGGGCTTTCCGCGCCGCGCAGATCTTCGCTGGCATCTCGTTCCTCTTCGCCACGGCCTCGCTGCTCTATGCGTTTATGTACTACCTTGTCATCCCGTCTAGATTCCATGAACAAGACATTTTCTTCAACTATGGGAATCGCCACATGGACATTTATGTCCAGGGGGGGCAAACGCCTATTATCCCAACGGCGTCTTTGGAACTGCAGGATCCGGTACATCAGTGGCAGTCATTTGTGGTCAAGCCTGACGAGCCGACGCAGCCTGTACTTGTCCCTGGTGTAATGTACGACGTGATCGTGGAGCTGACAGTGCCAGAGTCGCGAACCAACGCGGAGGTTGGTGTATTCATGGTATCGACGACGTTATACTCAAACCAGGAGAGGGGACTAGCAGCGAGTGCTCGACCTGTGACGCTGCATGACATGCCGGCGTCTGTGCGCTGGATGAGACTAGCATTTTGGCTCATGCCCTACGCGTTGGGCTTTACGGAACCTGCTCAGACGCTTCGCGTGACAGCGATCAACGGATACCAGGAGAGCACCGAGTACCCTCTTACGCGCGTGGACATTGAGCTGAACACGCCAAAGCTACAGGTCTACTCGGCCAAGCTTACAGTAATTGCGCAGCTGACAGGTCTTCGGTATTTAATGTACCATTGGGCAGTACCGACAGCGATTTTGTTCATTCTGAACATTGTCTTCTTGGAAGCACTGGCACTGATCATTTTGTA